AATATTTACGCACCGAAATCTCGCACGCTAACCACTATGCTACGCTCGCATGGGACTCTCAAATCTTAAATACTCTCAAGTGTCACAAGCTGAAAAAAAACTTGTAGAATTACTACGCGTCAATGATACCGCTATATTTTTAATACTTTATTGAATGTATATTTAGGACTATTTCAATATTTCGTTAAAAAAGAAACTTGTTATATTTTTATTATTATATAATACATATATTGAATAATTGTTTTTCAATATAATAATATTAAACGTAATAATATTAATAATTTTAATTAATATCTCAATAATAATAAAGTTATTATTATTAAGATATTATTAATTAATTTTATATATTATTAATTAACACTAATATTATTGAGAATTTAATAATAAATTATCAATATTAATATTAATTAATAATATATCAATAGCCATAAATTTATTATTATTGAGATATTAATTAAAATTATTAATATCATTACCTTCAATATTATTATATTGAGAAACAATTATTCAATTATTATTGAGATATTATTAATTAATAATATATAATATTAATTAATAACGAATTTTTTTAATTATTTAATTTTTAAAAAAGTCTCAATAAATAATTACTTAATATATTGATTAGATTAATTTATTAATAATTATTTTCTAAAATAATGCAATTACTTGTAATAATTATTTAATTTATAATGTGACAATAAATGACGAGATCCGCAGTCGGATCCGCCCCAGTACCGAGCCAGTACAGACTCAACATATCCGTCATTCTTCCGACGCCGCAGAAGAATAAGATCCGCCGGCGGAAGAAATCCAGTACCGAGCCAGTACTGACAATAGTGGGAAGACGGTTCCGACAGTCGGAGCATAATCTGTACCGCGCCGGTTGCTTTTTCAGATCCGAATCGGTACAGACCGTCGGTACTTGCGGTCTGTACGGGCGCGGATCCCAGCCGGTTGTAAATTCCGACATTCGTCCGACTTTTCCGCCTGGGAAATCATTTTCTTTATACATCAGTTAAAAATGTAGTCGAAGTGTTCTCTTGAATATTTTTTTTTCGTTTCCGCCATAGCGGTCATGAACATACAGAGCATTACATTTTTGTGCGGCTATATAGATCTCAGTGACAATGAAGGGGTTAATTAATAAAAACTACAATTCTCGTTTTGATAAATAGAAAATATTTTTCTAAAAATAAAAAATAGAATTTTTGTTGAATAAAAATAGAAAATATTTTTGAAAGAACGTGACTTGACGGGTTAAAATAAAATATAAAATTTCTGTTATAGAAATGTGAAGATGTGATTAAACAAATTTCTGAATATACATACACATATACAATATGTGGTTAACACAATATTATATGAAGGAGAATCATTAAGAAATAGTCGGCACTTGAACAGTAGCTGTCAGTAGAAGTGCTAAGTCAAAAAATCAACACAACTCATGGGAAGTTGTTCTGTCGAAACTGTCCAGGAGTTCGCTTCTCCTCGCGCTCAAAATGAAACCTCACTTTGTCGATGAATTACTCGGCAGTATCTGTATTTTGTTGTCTAGATCCACCGAACTTTTTTTCTCCAGTGGCTGCGGACCCATCAAATGATGAGTTCTTCTTCCCCTTGACTGCGGTGGATGACTTATTTCTTTTTAAAATCGCCTCCCCCCCGCTCTCTCTCTCTCTCGCTCATCTTCTCTTAACTTAATATTTCCTCAGTTGAATAGAACGGCCCATTCCTCGCGGAGGTAATTTCGACTCAAGCGCAGAGAATGATAATTTTCTCTCTCCTTTTTCGTGAGGGGTCAAAGAAATCTGAAAATACTTTTTCTGCTTGCATCATTATAGAATTTATGCGCCCACCTATATATACGTTATACTTGATAACATAATTTTTTTCCACATTTTTTTTTTATTCTTTATTCGACTAATTTTTGAAAAGTCATTTTCTTAGCTTTTTGATTCCCACTTTTGTAGTTCTTTTTTTCTTTCTCATTCGGTTTTTAAGCCTTTTGAATTTTTAACGTTCAAATGAAGGAAATACATTTTTTGTGCTCCAATATTTTTAAAAATTACAGAACTGAGATGAAAATTAATTAGTTGAAAATTAATTCTTTAATTAAATGTAGAATAAAAATTGTCAATCTCAAATTGTAATTATTTTCCACTGCTTTTTTTTACTTTACACCTTTCTTTCTATTTAATTTAGTAATTAAACATTTTTTACTTATGTTTCAGAGAAATAAAAAATCGTTTAATAAAAAATAAGCATATTTTTAAATTTTTAATTAAACTTCAAATTATAAATATACTTGAAAAATACTCTCGTAATTAATTTTTAAACTTAATTTGGTAAATATTTAAAAAAAACGCATAGAGATAAAGATAAAATAAAGTTAATAAAGATAAAATATTTGGGACTTTCTACAAATATTTAAAATTGCATAAAGTCTCAAGTTTGAATATATATGATTGTGAGAGAGAAAGAAGTCTGATTTTAAGATAAACATTTTTATGTTTTGGCTACAGAGAAACAGGAAACAAAAAGATTGACCGACTTGACTTGAATTACAATTTTGAAAATTTAAAAACAACTCGCGTGTTTGTTTCTAATTTTAGGGGCGAAAAAAATTTTTTCAAATTCCAGCTGTACTGTAAATATATAATTGTCAAATATTTCCGAACTGCGCATTTATTTTTGAATAACAAAACGATCTTTTGTTATTGGTGAACAAGAGACAAAAATAAAGGTTTGTTTTTTTTCCCGTACAGATAATTTTTCCAACAAAACCATCAAACAACCGGATGTGTCCCATTGCCATATGACAGCTCTTAGGAAATACGAGATAATGTAGGTATACGCTTTTTGACGATACGACGCGTGCAACATTACAGAATAGCAACAAATGCTTCTCGTCTTTTTCATATTTTGCCCTCTTACGACAATGTTTGAAAGAACAATATTGTAACTTCTTCTTTTTCTTCTTCTTCTTCTTCTTATTTGTATTCTCGTTATTTTACTAAAGAGAGTATACATATATATTTGAGTTCAAGAAAAATAATAATAAACCCAGTTCCGCCCCCTCTGCATAGTGACACGACGAACTGTATTTTTTTTGAAATTTCTTCAGTAAAATGTAATGTAGGAGGACAAGAAAAACAAATGACCTTTTTAAACACTCGTGTAGCTGCGATAATTTAGTACATTTTTCACTTCCTATTTTTGAAATTGCTTGATAAAATATTTTCTTGTAGTATACAAGAACAGTATTTTTTAATCAGTTTTCGTACTCGATAATTAATTTTAGAAAAGTAGCTTTAAGACTGAAAAATGTATAGTAAAAAAGTAGGTAAATCGAAAAATTAATAATAGCTTCAAAATTAAATTATATTAAAAAAGAAAATAATTTTTCTTAAATAACTATTTAAATACCTATTTATTTTTTCACAGAAATTGAAATATTTTAAATGATTTCAATGCTATGTAAAGCCTTTTTATTTTGAAATTTAATATTTTTTAATTATTTTTTATATTAAATTATAATTATTTTTTATATTATATATTAAATTTTGTATAATAAGGTATTTTACAATTTGGGGAAAAAGTGCAACAAACCGAAATTTTGACATAGAAAATACTAAACAGTGAAAGAAATAATATGAAATTTAGCAAATTTATATTAAAATTTAACTAAATTCCTTCTATTTGATATAATTATACTAAATTTCACATAAGTTTTTTTAAAGTTTAGTATTTTTTATATAAAAATTTCGCTTTGTCGCATTTTTCTCTAAATGTTGAAATACTTTTACAAAATTTAATATAATTTTCTCTATGTGTATTTCTAAAAATTACAACTGTAATATTCTTCCAAAAATTAAATCATTTTTTTGTTGAAATTTTAAAATAAAATTATTCAAAACTTTAATTATTTTATTTAAAAATAAAAATTTAAATATGATTACAGTTTTACAACAATTAAAATTTCCAAAGATTTCAATTTCAAAATCTTTTGAAATTTAATTAGTTTCAAAAAGCCACACTATAACGCTTTTAATATTCAATTATTAGTATTATTAACTAAAATTTTAACTGAAATTCAATTATTTAAAAAAATAATAATTTAATGAATTAAAAATAATTTTAACATTTTTCAAAGAATTCATTTAAAATTGCATTAACAATAATTCAAATTAAATTTAATTAATTAAATAATTGAATTCCTGGGAAAATTTTATTAGTTATAAAAATAATGTATAAAAATATTAAGTTTTTACGAGGAATTTAATGAAAATTACACTGAAAATAATTGAATTCTTATAAAGAATTTATCCCAAATTTTAAAAATGAGTGAATTCTATCAAAAAATTTTGTTTAACTTTTTAAAAATAACTTAAATTCCACCAAGAACTTTTATGCAAATTATGTTGAAAATAATTGGATTTTTGACGAAGAATTTTATAACTTATGAAAATAATTGAATTCTTTTGCGACGAATTTTATTAACATTTTTTTTTTTTTTAATAATTGAATTCTTTTGAGAAATTTTAATGAAATAGTATATATATTGAGAATAATAATTGAATTCCGACAAATTTTTGAAATTAATTAAATTTCTACGAAGAATTTTATTAAAATCTTTGGAAATAATTGAATTGTTACGAAGAATTTTATTAAAATTTTTTTAAATAATTGAATTCTTTTGAAGAATTTTAATAAAGTTTTTAAGGAAAATTGCATTTTTCAAGGAGTTTTATTATAGTCATGAAAAGAATTGAATTTTTGCAATGAATTTTATAAAAGTTCATTTAAATTTTTAAATAATTGAATTCATTTGGGAAATTTTTTATTAAAATAATGTTTTGTTTATATTTAAAGAAAAATAGCAAATAAACATTTAAAGTTGAAGAACAAGTAAAAAAATATATCAAATTAATTATAAATCTAAATTTTTATTGTTCGCTACAATTTTTTTTTATATTGTTCGTATTTTACTTCCTTGTCAACTACGTTGTTGATTGTAGTAAATTGAAAATAGAGAATGAGGCTTTCAAAATCTAAATGCAAATAAAAATCCATTTAATATTTAAATTTTTACTTAAAAATAAATTAAAAATATGAAAAAGAATTTAATTTACACTGAGAAAAGAAATTATTTGATTCAAACAAATTTTGTTTAAATCAAACTTAAAATATCTTTGCTATACAGTCAGACATATTTAAGTTTAATTCAAACATATTTTCTGGTTCAGTTTAAGAGATTATATATATTCAACTTTTAAGTTTGATTTAAACATAAAATTTTTAAACATAATTTTTGTTTAAACCGTAACAGAAAATATGTTTAAATTAAATATAATTATTCAAACAAATAATACTTTTGAATTAATGCAGTAGATATTTTTTATATATTGAGATTAAACTTACAAACTAATTTCAATTAAACAAAATTGTCTAACATTATTTTTGTGTTTCATTTAAGTATAATGTTTTCTCAGTGTATCATTTTACAAAATAATTTAACAGCAAAAATCACTATTTCGCACCTTGACAAAAGTGTCAATTGACATCGGAATTAAGGAGGCGCCATTTAATATAATTGGCCTATTCGATCGCACCATTATCATGATTAAATTTCTTTTTGTTTTTTCAGTAAGCGATGTCCAATTCATATTGTAAATTGCATCAGCAATTGCTAAACTCTTCAAAAAAATAATTTTCTTATAAACTAAATAGAAGGAAAATATCATCATCCAAAAACATTACCCTCTAAATTTGAATTTTACTAATAAGTATAGTAATTTCTACTAATATATTAGTAAAATTTACTAATTCAAAAGTAAAAAGTCAGTCACTAATTTAAATTAGTAAACATTTTTACTAATTCAAATTTAGAGCGAGTAGTATTAACAACGACTAAGAATAATAATTTTTCTAAAGAATTAATTAGAAGCATACCTTTTCTATCATTATATCACCAAAAATACAGTACAAAAATATTTGCATCAGGAAAGTTATAAACGTGACCACCATTGTCCAAAATTTTAAATTCAAAAAACTCAGTCTTGATAATTGATAAACAACTGTACATAAACTTATCGTGGTTGCAAAGAATTGCATAAATACCATTAAACTAAATAGATCGTTTAATTGTTTCTTCAGTCTGCGGACATTTTTTTCATCATATTTTAATGAATACAAATTATTATAATATTTTAATAAATATAATTTTTATGCTTTAATGAATATAACTTTGTATTTAAATGAATCTTTCTATATTTAAATGATCATCATTTTTTTGAGACCATTAATAGCAACAAAACGTTTACATTCTTTCTAAGGTTATCAAATTGAGACAAAAAACGTATCAAAATTGTTACGAAGCAACATTTTGATACGATTTTTGTCTCAATTTGAGATCATCAGAAAAATTGTCAATATTGTAGTATAAATATTAAAAGATAATAATATGTTTATTTAATACCTGAAAATGTAAACATGATGCATGACGCAATTTTCAACAAATTCAGATTCTTGTCGATGAATGTCAATTTTATTGTTTTCCTTTTCTCTCAATAGTTGAGGAAGTTTCATTAATCGACACATGCATATCTCTAATTGAGCACAAATTTGTTGCATCATAACAGCAGCAACAACCTCAACGGCAGAATATGTTCCAACAGACAATATTACAATAATTGTCTGATACAAATAAGTCATCCAAAAGCGAAATGCACTATTAATTTCGTATGGTATCCACGTTCTTAATATCAGAGTGACATTCTCTCCTTTCGTCAATGGCAGTATAACAATTGTAACAGCAGTTATCAAACAGGTAGTCATAAAAATTTGTGAATTATATCTGAAAAAAATGTATTTTTAATTTTTTATATATCTTTCAACTTTCATCTGAATATGAATTTTTGAACTTATTTGTAATTAGCATAACTACATGCTCGCGTGAAATTTTAAAATCCGTTGTTAGTTACAAAAACTTTTTTTATCTTTAATGAAAATTTATTATTTACTTAAAAACATAATTTTTTGATATATGTATTTCTTCAAAAATACAATTATATTTCAAAACAAGTTTTAAAAAGAATAGAATTAAATTCTTTTAAATACAAAATTTATATTTTAATGAAATTTGACAAAACTTTTAATTGTTTGCATTTTTTAATTATTTTCGGCAATTCAATTATTATCTTCAAAAAAGTTATAATTAGAATTTTTCAAAAACCTAATCTTTTTAGAATTTCTACTACATTAAATAATTATATTCAAAATTTCAATAAATTTTATTAAATAAATATTTAAAAACTTATTGTTATTTATTTCTAAAAATTACAACTGCAATTTTTACAGAAGTAAATTATTTTTTGAATATAATTAATAAAGAATTTAATAATTTTTAAAGGAAAATAGTATATTGTTTTTTTAAACAAACAGTACGGCGCGATTAAAATGTTAAAAAGATTTCAATTTAAGAACCGTATATTTTTGAATATATAAATAAATAAAGAAAAAACCTTTAAAAAAATAGTCTTTATTTCTTACAATTTCTGTTATAACTTCTGTAATATTCAATTTATTTTTTCAAAATTTAAAATGAAAATCTTTTTTAATAAGTATAAATTCTTATTAAAATTCAACGATAATTGAATTATTTAAATACAAACATTTTGGTAAAATTTAATTATTGTCCAAATTTTTAGTTACAATTCTTCAAAAAGTACAATAATATTTAAAAATAATCTTTTAAAGTGAGCAAATAACATTCTTTGAAATGCAAAATTTATTTTAATGAAATTTGAAAAAATTCTTTATTTTTTCAATTTCTTAAAATTATTTTCGAGAATTTAAGAATTTTCAAAAATTTTTAAGTATAATTTTTTAAAACCTCATTTTTCAGAATTTCTTATTAAAATTTGTAAAATGTTCTTAATTTTTTGTTTTTTATTAAATTAATTACAAAATATTTTCAATGTAAAACCTTTTGAAATTGAATTATTTCTAAAAATTGGAACAGCAATTCTTGCAACTCTTGAAACATTCTCTAAAATTTTAACTAAAATCCTTTTTCAAAATCAACTCTTATTAAAAAGTTGCACGAGAATTTAATCATTTAAATACATAAATAAGTGATAAAATAATTGATTTTTTTTAAATTGGAACTGTAACCTTCTTTGTTGATTTTTTTTATTTCGAAAAGAAGATTCATAGACTATTTAAGATTTTCGATAATTTTTTTTTTTAATATTTTGAATAAAAAATTTATGATTTAATTTATTTTGAAAATTTTGCACTAACCTGTCATTTTTGTGGAATTTAATTCTTATTGATATTTCATCATTATTTTGAGGAATGCATTTTGAGTCTAGAAACATTTCCTTAAATTTGATAAAATCATTACGATATATGGTGAAGTAGGTCATTTTAAAACACAATACAATTAAACCGGCAAAATAGACAACATTATCTGTTAGCTGATCAATATTATCAAAATTTAGACAAATACTCACTAAAAATGTCACCGTATGAAAGTACATTAAAATTAACACAAAAATATTATAAATACTGTAAATGAAAATTGTCCATTTTGATGTGAAATTTGTTGGTCGCCAAATTCCAAAATATTTCATAACAGTAAATGACAATTCAGCAATTGGAAACATTGTTTTCATTATTGTTTTTGAAATTTGAAAATTTCTAAATATTCTCCAGCAATTTTTAAAGCGTAACTATTAATTTTTCAAATGGACCGAATAACTGAATAAAATCAATAAAAAATGAAAGACAATTTGTTTTTCAAAAAATAGAGGAACTATTTTGTATAATTTTGATTTTAATTTAAAAATTTCAGTAAAATATTTTTCACTTCTCAGTAAAGAAAGAAACGAATTTAAATGTGAAATTATTGAAAAGTTTAGTAGCAACATTTAAGAAATTCTTTATAATATTATCGCTGTATCTATATGTATTCTTATTAACAGATCATTTGATAAATTTCTACCTTGGACAAAATTGGCAAAAGCGACTTACTCACTGACTAGTGTAAAGAACACTGTCTACAAAATACGAAAATTTCATTTTCCAGAGAGAGAGAGAGAGAGAGAGAGAGAGAGAGAGAGAGAGAGAAAAAATAAATCATAAAGAGAATATTTAAAAATGTGCGTATGCAATTTGTAAATTGTGAAGATAATAAACCTAGTAATTATAAGTTACTTGCACCACGCTCTTATATTTAGTAATGACATTTAAATATTAATTTCAGGTGTTCTTGTTTGTCGCCAATGCTTTTTAGAACTAACCCTATCAGATGAATAATTAATTATTCGAACTCTCACAAGAAGCGTGCATTTAATTTCAGTCCATCTAAAGACACGAAAGAGAATAGACTATATGAATGCAGAGAATATTATTAATTTATACTCGAAATATTTTTGGTTTATATATATATATATATATATATAGTGAATTATTGTTAAGTTGTCGCAAAAAATATTTAGGAACAAATTGTACAGAAATAATAATTTTAAGGAATATCCAAACTTTTTGTTACATTTAAATAAAATATTATTTTTTATTTTTTACATTATCTTGTAAACTACGCTGTGGATTGTATTAAATTAAAAATGGAGAATGAGGCCTTCAAGATCTGAAAAAACGTATAAAAGAAATTAATTTATATAATATAATTTTTAAATTATTTCAGATAAAATATTTAAAAGCATTACAATACATCTTATTCTTGTGGTAAGTTATGCTTTTTAAATCTCAGTTCTATTAAAAATAATTAATTGTAACTCAGAGAGCACGTTAGGTTACAGAAAACTTGCTGACATTTTTCAGAATCATTTCTTAAATTTAAAAAAAAATTCTTTTTCTTTTTACCAATTTAAAGATTTTTCTAAAAGTACATTTCTATTATACACAGAGAGTGAATATATATATTAAATTTTGTAAAAGTATTTTACAACTTGGCGAAAAATTACGACAAAGCGAAATTTTGATATAAAATATACTAAACTTTAAAAAAATCTATGTGAAAATTATTATAATTATATGAAATATCAAGAATTGTAATTTTTTAAATAATTAAAAATAATACCTATTTTAAATAGAGCTGAGATAAAAATAGATTCTTCCATTATTTCTTTCTAAATATAAAGATAAAAAGGTTTCGTTACTTTTCGTGAAATTTTTTTTTCCGATATCATTAAGTACTCAAATTTTTGTTAAATTGTTTATTAGTTAATTAATTTCTACCTTAACAAAAGTATTAACAGACATCGTGATCATTGATGCGCCATTTAACACAATTGGCCTACTCGATCGTACCATTATCATAATCAAATTCTTTTTTGTTTTCTCACTAAGCATAGTCCAATTCATTTGATAAATTGTATCAGAAATTGCTAAACTCTTAAAAGAATTTAACATTCATGTTAATTGTATTTTTAAAAATATATCAAAAATTTTATTATTAAAAAATTAAAAATTCAAATTTTATTTTGCTAGATATTAATTTAATTCTTTTTGATTTTTAATTAATACTGTTTTTTATTTTATACTTATTTCTTGTTTTTTATTAAATATGTTATCTTTTTAAGTGAAAGAACACAATTTAAAAATTAATATTTTGACAGAATAAATAAATTACTTAAAACGAAATAAAATTTTTTACCCTTTCTATCATTAACTCTCCGAAGAGACAATACAAAAATATTTGCAGCAAAAAAGCGATCAACATTATAAACATTGTCCAAAATTTCATGCTCATTACACTCAATTTTGATAATTGATAAACAACTGTACATAGAATTATGGTAGATGCAAAAAATTGCATAAAAACTATTAAACTGAATAGATCATTTAATTTCTTTTTCAACCTATAAAAACGTTTAATTATTAATAATTAAATTATTTATTTGGCGAATAAAGAAATAACTACAATGAATATATAATAAATAAATGAAACAAATAAATAATTATAAAGCGAATAAGTAACGAGAATAAACTATAAATAAATAAAAATTATTTAATTAAACTATGTTTCACTACCTGTAAATATAAACATGATGTAAAATACAGTTTTCGACGAGCTTTGATTCAAGTCGAAATGTGTTGATTTTATTGATAGTGTCATTATTTTCCCTTAATAGTCGAAGGAGATTCATTAGACGATTCATGCATATCTCCAATTGTGCACATATTTGTTGCATCATAATTGCAGGAATAATTTCAACGGACGAATAAATAACAACTGTCAGACTTGCAGCTAAAGTTTGAAAGAAGCTAGTAATCCAAAATCGAAATCTAGAATTAATATCGTATGGCATCCATGTTCTGTAGATTAAAACTCCCTTTGCCAATGGTACCAGGACAAACGGAAGTAAAGGAGCAAAGCAAGAAATTGCGAAGAGTCGTGAATTGAATCTAGAAAATAATTTAGAATTTTATTTATTCTCTTATTTTCTGTTTTTATTATTTTTTATATATTTTATTTCTATTATTTTTTTGTATTTTTTATTCTTATTATTTTTCTTTTTTCTATTTTGATATTATTTATATAATTTAATTTTTATTTATCATTAGGTAGGTACATTTATTATTTTCTATTTATACTTGTACATGCGTTTAATTTTATCAAGCTTGCATTTTTTATTTATCTATCACGAAATTGTTATTCGAGTAGAAAAGGAATAAAATTAAAAAATTTCGTGAAAATTTTTTTACCTTTAGTTTTAGTGACATAAAAAATAGTAATATTATATAAATTAAAATTTAAAAAAATAATAAAATTACAAGTTTTATTTTTAGTCATTTAGTTAAAAGAAGAGTAAAAAAAATTAAAAACGATATAATAATCTACTTTTAATTTATGCTAGTTTTACAAATTTAAAATGGCGGATCCAATATGTCGGACAGAGAAATGGAAAAAAAGAAAAAAGTACTATAGGTCGGTTTTTCAAAATTCAAAATGGAAAATAATAAGTTTCACACTGCGACTGTAAACATTATTACGAAAGATTCAATATATAATTACTAATTATTTTTTTATACACTGAAAAATATTTATTTGTTTTAAATAAGCGATTATTTTTCTATTATCAAATAAATATTTATTTGTATCAAATATTTTTTTACTTAATTCATTTAAATGGTAATTGCTTCAAGTACTGAAATTATTAGCTAAATCACAATTTATTTGATTCAAGTAAACATAAAAGAAAAGTAACCATAATTACTATTAATTATTTAAATAAATTTTAGACAAACCTTTCGTTTTCATAAATTTTTATTCGTATTGATAATTCATGTTTATTTTGTGGAATGCATTTTTTGTCAAGAAACATATTCTTAAAGGCAATAATGTCATTACGATAAATCTTGATATAGGTCATTTTAAAACACAAAGCGAATAAAGTAGTAAAATAAATAATATTATCTACTATTAAATTGATATTGTTAATATTTAAACATATATTGACAAAAAATGTAGTCGTGTGAAAGTACATTATACTTATTATTAAAATACTGTAGACATTGTAAAGAAGAATGGTATATTTTGATTTTAAAGTTGGCGGTTGACAAATTCCCAAATATTCCATGAAAGTAAATGATAATTCAGCGATTGGAAACATTTTTCGTTTTCAATTTATCGTAATGTTCATTTTTACAAAAATCATCTTGATATTCATTTATTAAAGGGATTTTTCAATTTTTATTTTATTTACTTTTTTGATTTTTTCTACTTGTTTCTTTACTTGCTTCTTTTTTTACTTTCTTTTTTTTTATTTGCTCTTTTATTTGTTTTCTTTACTTGTTTATTTGTTTCTTTATTAAAAAAGTATATCACGAAAACTATAAAATAATATCCCAATTTTTGAGCTTAATTCGAAAAACTTGATTTTTACAAAAATTGTGGTACCAGTTTAATAATAATTATTAAAAAGCTTTTAATTTTATTGAATAGAATTTGTATATTCAAATCTTAATAATAAGGTAGAAATACTAATTCTTAAAAGTAAAGAAAAGAAATAGAAATTAGAAACGTTTTGAAGGAACATTTAAAAATCAACTACTATTTCTCATGTCTGCGATAAAATATATAGCAAAGGCACAACTTATTCACTGCATTTCTTAATAAGCACTGAGTCTATGTGAATTACATGTCTTTTTGTCTATAGACTCGAAAATTAAATCACACAAAGGGAATACTTAAAAATGTGTCTCTGCAATTTGTGGACATAATTATCCTGTAATTACAAAACACTTAGATTGATATTTTGTACAGACGTTGATATTGATTGTGAAAATATTCAAATATTAATTTCTCGTATTCTCGTTACTTATAAGAGTTGCTTTTTAAAACTGACCCTACGAAATGAATAATAATTTATTCGCACTCTCATAAAAAGAACACGTTTCATTTCAGTCGATCTAGAGACACCGAAGAGACATCTTCCAAACTTTTATTTTTATGAAATTTAAAGACTAACTTTAAACCAAATATAATTTAATTGACTTCAATAAGTTTATATAATTGTCTCAGAATCTACTGAATTATTTATTTGCTTTAAATAAAAATTTTATTTGACATAAATAAAACTTTTAATGAACCAAATAAAATTTATTTGAAACCAATAAAAAGTCTGGTTGGTTCTGAGTCAAATATATAATAAAGTAACATCTACTACTTTCAGAATAAAACCTAATTTGGCTTATATAAATTGAATACAGAAATTTTTGGTTCAAATAAAGTTTATTTGATTCATTTAATTTTACAACCAAAAAAATAGAATAAGAAGAGCCAAAAAATATATTTATTAGGTAAAAAAAATAATTAATATATAATACATTAAAAAAAATTTATTTGATTCAAATAACCGATTACTTGTCTATAGAAATAATATTTACTTGAATATCAAATAATATTTATTTAAATCAAATAAATTTTTTTCCAGTGTAATAATAATATAATAATAAAAATAGTAATATAGCAATAATAATAAAATGATGCAAACAATAATAAAAATATAAAATTCCATTCTTCTTTTGAAGGAGTTGAATTTGGTGCACTACATTTCAAGTTGTACCAAAAGGAACTTTACCAAAAGAAATTTTATGAACTTGAGTAAGGAAAAACATGGCCCGCGGTGAGAATCAAAGAAGATGTGATAATTGGTTCAACAAATTCCTTGAAGACTTCTTCACACTCGGTATACATTGACCAATGCCGCGCACTTGATAACGGTTTAATTTTACCTCAAAAAAGTATTGCCCGTAAACTCGATTGAAGGGGAGAAATATAAAGTGCCTATACTATACGCATTTCTTAATATCGAGTAAGAGTTTTATATATACGTACACATTTCAGATGTTTACACTTTATTTTTCTTTTAAATAACAGAAAATGACAAAATAATCATGTAATAAAATTATGTTTTAGGAACATTTTATTTTAATTTTTTAAACAAATTTTTTTTATAAAACAGTTTTATAAAACAGCAAAAAGTCAGTCACTAATTCAAATTAGTAAATATTTTTTCTAAAAATTCAAATTTCGAGAGTAAAATATAATAATAATAATTACTATTATTATTAATAATATTGAATAGTAATAATTATTTACACTAACAAATTGTCTTCATTGTATTAATAAATTCTATCAATTTATTTCAGTATTAAAAAATTGTGACTCTAATTAGTAATATCTTGATTATTAATATTCCTGTAATGTGGATCGATTATTCCAATGGAATATTGCAGAAAAAGGAAAGAAATATTCAGCATTATTAACATACAAACTCTTTTTTATTTTTTATTATACAAAATAAAATTCATTTTATTTTCTATTTTGGAAATATTATAAAATAGAAACAACAAAGTGCTAATACTAATAGTATTTCCTAATTACTATTTACAGTAGTGTGTTATTTTATTTAAAAACATATTTCTTCTATGTTTTCCTAAAAATAACAGATTTGGAATAAATAATTGTTATTTGATTAAATTAGCACTACATAATAATTATAATAATTACTTCCTTGAGCAACATTATTTTTACTTTTCGTTGTCATACATATGACACTTGACACATTATCATAAGGGGAATACTGTATTTATAAATTCTTCACCTTATTTATAAAAGTCATCTATTTTTTTTAAAGCTGTTATCGAAAGTCCATTAAAAGATTGTATAAAAATGTTTCCTTAAATTAAACGAATTTTAAGGATTTATTTAAATTTTAACAGTATTGAAGTATTCTCAAATTATATAAATTTTTAAAAGTTTATTTTAACTTCTCATTATATTCTCTCTACAAACTCACTAAAAATAAAAAATAAAATATTGAAAAACACAACTAATTTTATAATTAGTAAAAATTTCAACTACTTTTAGTTTAAACTTTACTAAAACTTTAGAAAGCACAAATAATATTTGAACTATTTACTAAAACTGTTAAATTCTAGCAAAAAAATGTGTAAATTTTTACTAATTTAATTTAATAAAAAAATTTAATTAATTTAATTTAATTTTTTTATTTTAATTTAATTTATTTTTTAGTAGGGGAAATTTTACTAATTTTGATTTATTAGTTTTAATCATATTAGTCAAAATTACTACTATTTTTTGTTTAGAATTTACTAAAACTTTGGTAAACATGAACAATAATGGAACTGTCGAATTAAACAGTTAACTTCTACCTAAAAATTGGGTAAATTTTAACTAATTTAATTTTATGGGAGAAATTTACTAATTTTGATTTAGAGCACTAATTCTAATTATTAAATTTTTTTTACTAAAACTTTAGTAAGCACAAATAATACTTTAATTACTGAATAAAATAGAGAAATTCTACCAAAAATTACTGTAAATGTTTACTAATTTGATTTAAAGATTATTATTGATTCTGATTAGTAAACATGTTTACTATTATATATAAACTATTTTCAGACCTCGGACTGAATTTAGAAATAAAAAATAGTATCAAAAGTGTCATAAAGTTTTCCTAATCGTTGTACTAGTCGCACATTTATTTACAAATAATGAGTACCTTTTGTGTTTTAATAAAAAGCGTTAGAAACGTGCCCTAAAAACACAGTTTAAATTATTTTCATAATAACATTCAATTAAATAAAAATTTTTCAGAGAGGAAATGATGATTTAATTTCTCCACTTGAGAAAGCCAAGGTCATCACTAGATGTCGTGAAATTTGATTTCATCAACTGAACTGCCATCTAGCGGTGACCTTGGCGTTCGCAGGTGGTGAGTAGCGACTCCATATTAAATCTCAAGATATTAGTCAATATTTGTAAATCTATAATTATTTATATTCAAATTTAGAGAGTTTGCCAATTAATGTAAATGGATTTCAATTTTTAATTTGCGATATTTTTATGGTCTCCAATTTATTTAAAGTTTTAGAAATTACAGGGTTGCCACGCAACCTGGAAACCTGGAAATGTCAGGGAATTTTTATAAACCTTGAAAAAACCTGGAAAAGTCAGGGAATTTTGATTGGAATCCTGGAAAATTATTGTTTTCTAAAGTTATTGTGCTTATTCTTGAAATTTAATTTTTCTTTAATTCAATTTTCTTAATCAAATTTCTTAATTCAATTTTAAAAGAGTTGCCTTTACAATTTTTCTTCGCAATAATTCAATTATTTTTATAAATAATAAAAAAATTTATAGATTTACAATTATTTTCATAAATAATAAAACTCATCGCAGAATTTCAATTATTTTTTATACAATTTTAATCGAATTCCTCGAAAAATGTAATTATACTTAAAATTTTATTAAAATTCGTCAAAAGAATTCAATTATTTAAAAATTTGTTAATAAAATTCTTTATGAGAATTCAGTTTTAAGAAACATTCAATTATTCAATAAATTATTTATTTTTGTCTTAAAAATAATTAGGTATGTAACAACAAATATTATTAAAAAATTCTTCTCAAGAATTCAATTATTTTCAAAAGTAATAAAATTCTTAGCAGAAATTCAATTATGGTCAAAAGTTTAACAAAATTTATAGTCAAAATTTCAATTATTTTTATAAATATTAAAATTTTTCTCTAAAATTCAATTATTTTCAAAAATTTTAATAAAACTCTTGTCAATATTTCAATTATTTAAAAAAATATTAATAAAATTCTTGACAAAATTTCAATTGTTTTCAAAAACTTTTCTCAATTCAATGAAATTTTTTTTGACAGAGATTCAATTATTTTTAATACATTTTTAATCTAATTTCTCGAAAAATGAAATTGTTCTTAAAAATTTTATTGAAATTCGTCAAAAGAATTTTAATTACCTAAAAAATTTGTTGATAAAATTCTTTAAATGAGAGTTGAATTTTAAAAAACATTCAATTCTTCAATAAATAATTTTTTTTGTATTTAAATAGTTAAGTAGTTGAAACTTTAGATAATAATTGAGTTTTGAAAAGCAGGTCTCAAATATCTTTGAATGTTTGAATTTTTCATACTTTTAACTTAAAATTGTGTTGATTTAATTTTTTAGTAAAAGTTGATTTTAATTTTTTTGAAGTTATTTCAAGTTTTTATTTTCTAATATATATTTGATTGAAGAATTTCAAAATAATCGATGAAATTTCGTAAAATTGAATTGTAAACAAAAGAATTTGAAAATTTTCAAAGAAATTCTTCAGAAATTATTAATAATAATATTTAATTTAAAGAAGAATTTTAGTTAAAAATTCTGGAAAACAATAATTGAATTAAAATAATGAAAGTAATTTTGAATAAGTTACAGTAACAATATTCATAATTATATAAGATATAAAATTCTGATTTTATCAGTCCAACATATTTAATTATTATAAAACATGAAGATACACAGGAAAAAAAGTCTGACTCCGTTTACACCTTAAATTCAGCCCATGTATTTCACATAAGTCTGTCCTTGTCTAACGGGGCTGACTCCGTTTACACCTTAAATTCAGCCTCAAAAAGAGGCTGAAAGTAAGACTTTTTTTTTAGTGTGTACACTATATACTATATATATAGTGATCGATATTTTCATTTTTTATAAGTTGTTTAATTTCAAAAAGGTTAGAATGAAAAATATTGTAAAATATAAATGTAGTTTTAAAAACCTGGAAAAATTACGTTTTTAACTTGGAAAACCTGGAAAAGTCAGGGAATTTGAAATGAGCAAAAGCGTGGCAACCTTGTAATTATTAATAAATTGATATTTAAATAGAATCAACAAAAATTGTTTTAGGAAATCTCTAAATTTGAATTTGTAAAAATGTTTACAAATTTAAATTAGTGACTTATATTTGCTTCTGAATTAGTATATTCTACTAGTAAAAAGTAAATTCTATTAGTAAATAGTAATTTCTATTAATTTATTAGTAAAAACTAATTGAGCAAAAAAAAAAAAAAAGCCAGTCACTAATTCAAAGTAGTGAACATTTTTACTGATTCAAATTTAGGGAGAAAAGAACAAAAATCATAAAAGAATAAATAAAAACAATCTTTTTGCAAACGATAATTTTCAACAAATAAATTAAAATTCAATGAGGCCTAACCCCCATGAAAAAGAGACGATATCTAATTTTGGTCTTTTCGTATATGAGAACAGTTTTTAATGAATTCAGCAGAGTCGAGGATAATTGCTGATGAAAGAAAGGTTTTCATCAGATGAAGGAGAATTTATTCAGGTATACCCACGCAGAACGTCTCCCTGTCCCATGTCATGCGCCCTCCACTTGGAGTCTTCTTTATGAATTGATGAATTCCATCATTTCCATTCGATAACGATAAAAATTGAAATTATATTCCCTTTTCGTATTATAGATAAGGGGGGACATAAGGTGTCGTGCCCTTAGGCAGTGGAAGCAGCTAGTTGTACAGGAAGTTGGTCGTTGTTGTTAGTCACACCCACCAGTCCTGGATTATTATCTTTGGTACGATCTGTCGCAGCAGAGGCATCATCATCTCTCTCATCGTCCTCGATGTATATCAGCCGAGCCGCGTAGCAAAGCATCAACATTTCGATTACCATCAGTGCGTTATACGTAACTGAAAAGGTGTAACGATAAAAATTTTCTTTCTTTTCTTTTTCTTTTTTTTTCTTTTTTTTTCTTTTTTTTTCTCTCTAAAGAGACATCAATTTAGTGTCAGATTTTACTCAGGCATGTCACGTTTTGCGACACGTGCTTGTCAACAAATTTCCAACTAAAATGTTTTTCTTGTCTTTTTTATATTCTCTATTGTATGTCAAGATATATTAATACATTTCCCTATAGTTGGATTTTAATATTCTATGGGTGATTAAAGATTATTTTCTTGAAAGCATATAGATACGTGCTTCTTCACAAAGAAAGAGGAAAATCGTGTTTTCTGTTTCTTTTTTTTTCTCCCAAAGTCTTATTGCTTCACTTGAATTTAGATTGAAAATTATTTTTGGAACGTTGTCTAAACTATTTATCGAATTTACAAGCGAGATGGAGTTAAGAATTCTTTTTATGTATTTATAATTTTCAATTTATTATTTTTTATTGCGTCTTTTATTGTTTATTTAATGGTTATATTCATATGGTCGTGCATATAGAAAGGTAGCATAAAAATTAAAACTGGGTCGATTGTGTAATTTCATTTCTACTTTGACGTTCATTTTCATTTTCACTGTTATAGATTTTTATTTTCACTTTTACTTTTATTTTGATTTTTGATAGAATTTTTTTACTCTTTCACTTTTACTTGAAGAGAATGAAAAGTCTCTATCAAAGTGAAAGTGAAAGTAGGAGTAAACAAGAATGTGAAATTTAATGTGGAAGTGAAATTGGATGTAAAAATGAATGTGAAAATGATAGTGAAGGTAAAAATGTGTGTGAAAATGAAAACGAACATTTATCAAGATTCAAGATAAAAGAGAAAATAAAAGTGAAAGTAAAAATAAAATACTATTAAAATGTCAGTGACAATGAAAGTGAGAATAAAAATCTATCAAAGTGAATGTGAAAGTGAAATTGAGCGACAAAGTAAAAATGAAGTTACACAATCGACTCCCATTGGAAAAGTTTTCTTTTAAATTAATTAAAACAGAAAAATGTAAATCATTCGTTATAAACAATTAAATTAAAGAAATACCCAACAAAGTTAAATTTTTTGGAAATTTTCCACTGATTTTTTTCTATTAAAAATTTCTAATGAAAATTTTTCTACTACAAGAGTAATAATACATAAAACCATATAGTTTTGCATAAATTAGTTTAAATAAATTGAAAATTAAATAACAGAAAAGTAATATTTCTAATGTTAAATAAAATAAACTTGAAATTTTTTTTTAACCCCATTCGTCCAAGAAGTTAATTTCTTTCTTATTAAATTTGTACTCGCCATTTTCAAAGATCGTGGGATACAAAATATACAAATAGTATTTCTTACGTATTTTTTAGTCCTCTACCAGAATCTATAAGAAAATTAAAATTTTAAATTATGAATAAAAAGTTATGATTGTTTAAACAAAAATAAAACCAAATTTTTTGGGTTTTTCTTTCATTGATATTTTCAATTGCAAATCGCTTCAAGAAAAATTTGGAATGACAAATATCGCGTTCAAAAAGTATGACCTTTCATTTAAATATTATTAGAAATTTTTATTTTTATGAAATTCAAAATGGCGGATCAAAAATGGTGGCTAAACAATTAAAATTTTAAATAGTCAGAAAAAAAATTGCAGACATAATTTCTCATTATATATGACTATATATTCAATATAAAACTAACATCTATGATCAAATTTTACAACTGACTAATTTTTAACGATATTTTAAACAATTTCCATAAACAAATTATTATTCAAAAGACACAAATATTGTCGAAAAAAATTTTTTTTACATATCACTCTTATTCTAACTGTTCCAATGAATGTTGAAGACAACAATTTGTTAAAATTATTGTTTCACAATGTTATAAACAATTTTATAAACAAATGAAGAAATGACAACAATTGAAGCTGAAAAAAATAGTTCCTTCTTTGTCGGACATTCTACTATTTTCGTAATTAATCTCTGAGATAAAAATTATTGATTACAATTATTTAACAACTTTTTAAACAATTTCTGAATTAACAACAAGTGAATGTGAAAAGATTACGTTTTTTCTTCTATAGTTTCTATACTATTTTTGTTCTATAAGATTAATGAATCTTGAAACTTATATTTTTCAATAAATTTTGTTTGAAACAAATTGTTAATATGTAATTCGTTTACTATAACAAATTACATATTAACAACAATTAAAGGTTCATTTATCCTACAGAAAAAAATATTATAAGAAAAAATCGATTTTTTCACCTTCAGTTATTGTTAATAAATAATTTGTTTACAAGAACTGTTCATAACTTAGTTAAAAAAATATTAAGTATTAAACTTAAACTTTAAGATTTATTAACCCTATATAGAAAATAGAATAGTGGAAGAATGAACGATATTTTCACATACAATTGTTGTTAATATGTACTTTGTTTATAACAAGTTGTTTAAAACTATTGAAAAATATAAATAGATAGATTTAAGTTTCAAGATTCATTAATTCAATATAGAAAAAAAAATAGTGGAAGAAAAAACGTAATCTTTTCACATTCACTTGTTGTTAATTCGGAATTTGTTTATAGAAATTATTTATAAAGTTTTTAACTAATTGTGATCAATAATTTTTATCAAGATTCATTACGAAAATAGTAAAAAGGTCTGTGGAAAAAGGAGCTATTTTTCAGCTTCACTTGTTGTCAATTCTTAATTTGTTTATAACATTGTAAAATAATAATATTAAAAAATGTTATCTTTCAGTGCATTTTTTGTTTAAACAATCATAACTTTTTATCCTTAAGTCAAAATTAAAATTTTTTTGTACATTCTGAAAAGAGACTAAAAATACGTAAAAGAAACACTATATGCATATTTTTTCAGCCATAGATATTCAAAATTTTTAATAAAAAATTCTTCGAAAGCATTTAATTATTTTCAAAAATTTTAATAAAATTCTACGCAAAAATTTTAATATTTTCATAAATAATAAAATTTTTATAGGAATTTTATTACTTAAAGCATAATTTTCATAAAATTTTTCGAAATAAATAAAGAAATCAAAAGATTTTTTACTTAAAATTTTTTTAAGTTTTCATTGTTTGAAAATATTAATTTAAATAAACATTTTAAAAATGATTAATTTAATACTTTCTTACAAAATTCTTAAAATTTCAAAGAATTCATGTAAAAATTCAACTCTCTGTAAAAATGTTTTTTAGCCCAGGATCTTTAAAAGTGTCGAGTACAAATGTAATGGGAAAAAAATATCATTTTTATTTTTATAAATACTTTTATATAATTATAATTTTGACTCAGTACTAAAAATATATTAAAACACTAATTTTGAATATTTTTTTTTAAAAATTCATCGTTATTTTTCCAAATAAAAAAAAAGATTCTATCAGCAGGGATTATTGAATGCTGGTTCCCCTTTAAGGATTAAAAAAATATCCAAGAGAAAAAACATGAAATATTTTTTTTCTCTCAAATAAACGTGAATATGAAATAATTACCACTGGCGTAGGCGTTCGGTGAAAGAGGAGGGTTACAAGGGAAGAGCGACGTCCAATTTGCCACGCTTTTGATGATAAATCCCTGCAACTTGGAAAACAGCAACACCATCTGAGTTACAACAGTCTTACGTCTCAAATTGGTCCCTATAGGGAAAAATCAACTCAGGTCAAAAAGGCGTTTACAATGTGTTCATCATTAATATTTTTTCAACAGAGAAAGAAAAATAGAGGAGGAACAAAAGAAATTTCCACCAAAAATTCAAAAATGCATTTTTCGCTTTAATAGTCTTAAAAATGTTCCTACGAGTTTTTATTATGCTTTTAACACGCGGTTTTAAACCAAAGGGCGGTCTTTCCTCCACAGGCAAACATTACTCACTTCATATTGTCTCAGGGAATTCTCGAAAAGGAAAATAAAAAAATAAAATAAATAATCCCCATTATTCGAGTCATAAAAATTTATTTTATCGAATAGAAAGGAAAGAAAAAAAAATTTTTAATGATTTTACGATTGTTTTTCTTCGAACAATATAGATACGGAATACTTTTAAAGAAGGAAAATCAAGAATGTTGAATCGATTTCTTTCAAAAAAATGACTACTTTTTGTTATAAAATAAATTTTTAAAGTTTGGAAATTTTTTCTCTAAGCAATTAATAAATCTCTGTAAATTGAGTTTCTAATTCAGTCTTCCAGAAATTTGTCTTAAACCAAACGAAAAAATTTGCTAACTTTCAAAAATTTCTTTTTTTTCCTCGGAAAAAAAAGGGAAACGGAAAAATAATAAAAATTTTGTAACTGAAACATACACAGCAGTTGGTACACTTAAACTAATTCAGATTTACAGAAATGATTAGAAAAACCACAGTGTAAAAATATTCTTTATCTTCCCTTCTAAGAAAAACTTTCTAAACTTTCGAAAAAAATTTTTGTTCTTTTCCCTTTTTTTTTGTTTCTCGAGGAGAAAAAAGGAATTTTTGAAAGTTGGCAAATTTTTTTGGTTTGGTTTTTAGATAAAATTGGATGAGGTTAAAAATACGTTAAACCGAGCAACCACGGGTGTTCTTAAACTTTTGAAATGTTTGGTTCACGCTAAGTTATACGATTTTTGAAAATCTTACTCGGAGATCTTTTGTTAGTAAATTTATATCCGACTGTGGTTTTTCTAGTGCGTGCACCAGAATCGTTGCATAGCAATTGCGGTAAAATTTAAAGTCTTTGTTCAAGTTTCCTGAGTCTGTAGAAAGTTCCTCACCTGGGGCTGCTTCCTCTAAACTCCTGGTGGTAATGGTCAGTCCATATATTCCCAGAAGTATACTAATTACGGCAAATGTTTGTAGAAAAATACTGTATCTTGTCACAAGAATTGCTTCCTCCATTGCCATATAAAGAGTGATTACGTAGACCAATGTCTGCAATATTTCAATTTAATAATTTCAATTCAATTCAATAATTCCAATTTTTAATTCAATAATTAGATTTCAAAATAAAAACTAGGCTCTCTAATTTTTTCTTATATTATAATATTTTCCGTCACCATTTTGTCACCTATTTTCAAAAAATAATTCACCTTTTCATGTTTTTTAATGAAAAAAAATTGGAGCTGTATCAATTGCCCACAGAAAAACTGACACAAAGTTATTTTTAATACAAGCTTCGCACTCATTTACTAAAACCTACAATTTACTATTTTTTTTACAAAATGCTACTCTTTGGATACTATTTAAATAGATTTATGAGTTTTTGACCAATTTTTTCAATTATTTTCATAAATAATAAAATTTTCATAGGAATTTAATTATTTAAAATACAAATTTTATAAGATTTTTGACAATAAATTCAATTATTTAAAATATTTTAATAAAATTCTTGAAAGAATTTAATTATTTTCATGAAGAATAAAATTCATCGTATATAAGAATTCAATTATTTTTAATACAATTTTAATTAAATTTTCTAAAATTATTTGCTTTTAATTAGTTAATTTTAATATTAATAAAATTCCTCGAAAAAATTACATGATTTTAAAAATTGTAATAAAAAATTCTTCATAAAAGTTCAATTATTTTCACAAATTATAAGAATTCTTTTCTTCGAGAAAAATCAATTATTTTTAATAATAGGAAAAAATTTGTTTATAAGACTTCAATTATTTTCAAAAAAATATTCTACTTAAATGTTTGGAAAGAATAAAATTATTTTAAAAATTTTTAATAAGAAATTCATTGCAAGAATTCAACTATTTTTTATACAATTTAAATTATTCGAAATAATTCATTTTTTTATTTTAATTTTAATAAAAAATTCATGGAAACAATTAAATTATTTTCAAAAATTTTAATGAAAAATTGATCAAAAGAATTCAATTTTTACAAATTTTGACAATAGTTCGGGAATTAATTCAATTTATTTTTAAAAGATTTTATAAAATTCTTCGAAAAAAGTAATTTTTTAAAAATATTTTTGAAAAAATTTGTTTATAGGAATTCAATTATGTATTTAATTAAAAAAATTATTAAATTTTTGAAAAGGATTAAATTATTATTAATAAAAAAATCTTCGATACAATAAGATTAATTTACATTTTTTAATAAGAAATTCTTTGAAAGAATTCAATTATTTTCAAAAAATGTATTAAAACTCTTATCAATCATTTAATTATTTTCATAAATAATAAAATTTATCGCAAGATTTCTATTATTTTTAATACAAATTTTAATTAAATTATTCGAAATAATTCAATTATTTGATTTAAATTTTAATAAAATTCCTCAAAAGAGTTAAATTATTATTTTCACAAATTTTGATGAAAAATTGTTCAAATAATTTAATTATTTTTACAAATTATAAGAATTCTTCGCAGGAATTCATTTTTTCTAATCTCTTCTATTTTGATAAAATTTTACGTATAGTAATTCAATTATTTTTAAAGGTTTTTATAAAATTCTTCGAAAAAAGTAATTATTTTTAATAATTTTGAAAGAATTAGTTTATGAGAATTGAATTATTTTTTATACAATTACAATTCAATTTCTCGAAAGAATTAAATTATTTTCAAAATTTTTAATAAAAAATTCCTGGAAAGAATCCAATTATGTTCAAAAATTTTAATAAAATTCTTTGCAAAAATTTAATTGTTTTTTTAAATAATAAAATTTTCATACATTTTTTCGAAAGAAATCAATTATTATTTAAAATATTTTCATAAAATTCTTCATTCAGAAGGATTCAATTACTTAAAAAAATGTTGATACAATTCTTTATAAGAATAAAAAAAATAATTCAATTTTGAAGGGAATACAGTTGTAATAATAATTTCAAAATCGTTTTACATTGCAATTATTTGAAATTTTAATTTCCTTATCTTGATAAATAAATAAGAATAAGTAGGTATTTAAATATTTATTTAACAAAAACTACTCTTTTAGAATAATTTAATTTTGAAATTTTGAAAAGAATTTAATATTCTGAAAAATTTGAATAAAAATTTATTCAAATTTAAAACAAATAAATAATTTGATATTGTAAAGAATTTAATTTAATTTTACTTTTAATTTAATTTTTCGATAGCTAGGTTTTTCAATCTTAAAGATACTTTTCTCTACTTTCTTAAATTAATTATCGAATGCAAATCCTGATAATAATAAAATTTAATTTAATTTAAAAAATTTTTTAAATTTAAACTGCATAAAAGCTTATTTCAAATAAATTTGACAAAAATAAACTTGTATGCAACTTCTTATGCAATTATTTCTGCAATCTGACGGTATGCAGTTTAAATTTGTACAATTTTTAAATTAAATATTGTAATTTTTGTTTAAATTTGCTTGCAAGCAGTTTTCCCATGTTCTGTTTATTGTATATTCAGTTTTCCTGTATACAGTTGAATTGTAAGTAATTGATACCGCCCCCAAAAAAATTCCCGACAAAAATTTTGAATTCAATTTTTTGTTCCCCTTGAAAAAAATACAAAACATTCGAGTAAATAAATAATAATAATAAAAACATTATCTAACCGGACTACTGAAATTTTGGAATATACATAAATCAAGTATAAGAAAAAGAATACCGGAAACTAAAGAGAGTGCAGTTCATAAATTCAGCGTATTTTGAATGCATCGAAGAAGTGTTTTGCCTTTTGTAATGGTACCTGTTTGGTCAGGAGGACAATATAACTCTACCTGACATAAACTACGTGGAAGAAATACAATATATAATTCATCTTGTTGCGTCTTTGGGGACACTGGACACACTATACCCCGTGGACCAAAAAAATAAAATGAGATTTTTAGAAACTTCGTATGAGCTATGAGCTGTGAAGAATCTTTCAAGAAAAAAAAGAGGAATGAGCAAAGAAAAAAAAGGAAGAAAAAAAATTGAAAAGAAAGAAAAAGGAAATTGTCTACCTGAACGATAGGAAGTTGCAGGACAAAAATCCGAAGCCAGGACAAATTAGCCTCGGTCATTTGAAGAATTGGAAAGGGCAGACAGGGCCAGCAGCAACATGGCAGGACATTTAGCATTAATGGTGGTGCCTTCGTGATCTTTCGACGACCAACGTCGATTAGAACGAGATACAGACTGTATAACGCGATCGTTAAGGTGATTTGAGTCAATGCTTCTGACAGCACCTGAGCCCTAGGAAACAAAACAAAAACCAAATATGGACATTAATTAGAGAAAAATTTCCCTGTGTTGACTTCTAAACCACAGAGATTCAAAGATTAGAAGAAAAACACCGATGTTCTCAGAAGAGAAATAATAGAATAATTAAATTTTTTAAAAATGACAAAAAAAAATTTTTTTTAATATGTAGGCGCCTATAGTTTCTTTCTTCGAGGAATTTTTTATCTCTTCTTTGGTTTTTTATTTCCATTTGAAAATCAATTTTTATACCCTAAAATTAAATTTCATTTCTTCTCTACTTTCTTATTTTTAATAAAATAAATAAATGATCAAATAAAAATAAGGTATTAATATAGGTATTTAAAAAATACAACATAAAAATAAAATTAATAAAAAATAAATAAAAAATAAAATAAATAAAAAAGTTAATTTTTTTAAAGAATTTTTATCCCTTCTCTAAATTTTTATTTCATTGGAAGCAATTTTTATCACCAAAAATGGAATTTCTTCTCTACTGTTATAATTTTTAATAAAATAAATGCTGAAAAATAATTTATTTAATTCAAATAACCGATAACTTGTCTAATTATCGAAAAAGTATTTACTTGAATCAAATAATTTTTATTCAAATCAATTAAATAGTTCATTTCACTGAAATTATTGATTTAAATAATTAGTGGTTCAAAATTTAAAATTTATCTGATTTAAATAAAAATTATTTGATTCAAGTAAATATTTATTAAATGAAAGACAAATAATTGGTTATTAAAACCAAATACATTTTTTCCAGCGAATAAATAATTTATTAAATAAAATATATTAAAAGTATATTAAAAAATATGAAATAAAAAGAAAATTAAACTAATTTCTTACTTTAATCATCAATAAATAGAAATTATCTTTTAATTCAATTTTTTATTTTTAACAAATTTTGTCGATTTTTCTCTTGATAATAAATAATAATTAATTACTACTCGATATTTTTACAAGCAGAATTTATTTTCCCAACGAGTATTCACTCGTTGATTTATTAAGATAAATGACAATTTCATTCAATGCTATAAAGAACATTTTTCAAAATGGTTAAGATTAGATATCACTTTCGTAATTTAGTTTGAAAAATATGTTACATAGAAAATATATCAATTTTTCTTCAGTTCATTTTCATTGCATTTATTTATTCTTATCTGCTCTGGACCAAAAACTGAAAGATCGTAATTCAATTTTTTCCCTCATATAATCTTGACGTTTTCAAATATTATCATTTTTTTTACTAAATCTTCTAAGTTAAAAAGAAAAAAAATTCAGTTTGAGAAAAATTTTTTTCTCCTGCTTAAAATTTTCTATTCGATTCGTTTTTTACATAAGGTCATCTCTCTGTAACCTTTAAGTTTTATGTCCTTCTGATATATTTTGATAATTTCCAGAAGAAATAGAAACGAAGACGTTCAGGAAAAAGTTTTTTTTAATAATATTTTAACATTTTGAAATTAATTAATTTATGTCGAAAGGCATTATTATTTAAATAATAAATAATCAACGTAAATTTTGAATTATTTTTAGATTCAAAATTTTTAAAAAATCACTTATTAACTACATGATCAATTATTATTTATTATTTTCTAAAATTTTAATAAAATTCTTGGCAAGAATTTAATTATTATTTTCAAAAATTCTTTGCATAAATTCTATTATTTTTTAATGCAATTTCAATAAAATTTAACGAAAGGATTTAATTATTTTCAAAATTTTTAATCAAATTATTCGAAACAATTCAATTATTTCCAAAAATTTTACGTAAGAATTCAATTATTATTTTCACTAAAATTTCTCAAAAGTATTTAATTATTTTTAAAAATTGTAATAGAATTCTAAGAATTCAATTGTTCCAAAAAAATTTTAATAAAATTCGATAATCAAATGTTTAATTACATTTATTATCAATTATACATTTATTTAAAATACTTAAGAGAAATTCTTTATAAATATCAATTACTTTCAATATTTGTAAGTAGAGTTATTAAAAAAAGTCCATTAGTTGCAAAAAATTTAAAGAAAATTTGATTAAATCAAAGAAAAATTATTTCCTTCAAAAAAATTTTTTATGAATAAAAAACCCTCTTTCTTTAAATAAAATGCATTTCTAATAAAATGGAATCAATCTAAGAAACTGATTTCTTTAAATAAATAAAAACTTTCTTTGAGTGTAGAATCTGGAATCGAAAACGTAAAAACTAAAGTTAAAAATTGAAGATAAAAATATTTTTACTTTTATAATTTTTTGTTATTATTATAAACTAACATATTTCATTGTAATTTTTAGTTTTTATGATTTACAATTAATTTTTTGTATGTGAAATGAGGCTAATTAATTTTATTTATTTTATTAATTTTTAAATAATAAAAATAAAATTATTTTTAACTTTAATTTTGTATAATTAATTTTTGTTTTCGATTCCAGATTCTATGCATTTTTCTGATTAGACTCTGTAAATTTCGAAAAGTTGGAAAATTATTGTTTAAAAATCTTTATCCGAACGTTTTCGTTTTTATTTTGCTTATTATTTAACTTTTCGGACGCAAAAATTGGATTATTGTTAATAATATAAATTATTTTTGTCTGACTTTTAAAGGAAACATTAACTTTTAATTCGAAAAAATTTTACACATATTTACCAAATATAGATAAATAATTATTCTAATAAAATTTGAATACTCTGCTCTCATGAGCTATAAAAAATTGATTTTTAAATAAAAATTTTCAGTTTTATTTAAAAATTAATTTTTTAATTTTCTTATTTCCAGAAATAAGTCCATAAGCAGAAAAATTGTATGTACCTACAATAATTTTTCATACGTATTGATTACTATAAAATTATTTCGTGACCCACCTGGGAATGGCTAAAGCCAGTAAACTGCAAATACTGGCAACTGGATAAACAGACAGTATAATAGCGCTATTTTTTTTATACGACCTCGTTTGATTTTGAAAAAATATTTTATAAATAGCATCAATTGATAGATACATTGTAACTAATGTTATCAGTGTAGAAATTATTATTAGTCCAATACCAAAAGATCCTAAACCTGTAAAAATAATAATACGAGAATTAAATAGAAGAAATATTTATTTATTATAAAATTTTATTTGAAATAATAAATAAAATAAAAATTAAAAATAATAACAATACAAAATATATAGTAAAACGTAATAGAAATATAATTAAAAAGATTGTAGTTTCTTTTTAAAAAATTAATCTACATTTGGATGCATTAATTAATTAATTTTTTCATTAAAGAAAAAAAAATTGAATTTCTTTTTCAATTTAGAAAATAGTTCCCAAGGTAATTAAGAAATTTTCTATATAATTAAAATTATGATGCGTGTTTACTATATGATACAAAACATGAGTTTAATCGTCATTTCGCTCTAGATTTTCCGCAACATAATTAAAAGTAAAATCTTTATAAAATCTTTCCTAAATGGCACTTCATGTCCATATATCTATATAGTCAATATTCCGTGACTGGTAAAATGCTTTTCGTGCGAAACTTTCACCCAGTGCACGAGCATTCAAACACACCCAATTTGTATAGGTTTTCGTTACGAATAATATACACCAAACCATAATAATTTCATTTTCTCCTCTTTTATTTCTTTTATCAAAATTATTTTCGAATTTTAGAAAAATGAATCATCTCTATAAGACAACACTAATTCGAAACAGTTTTTCCTTTTTTTTGATAAATTTCTACCGTAAAAAAACCAAACCCTGAATTAGCTGCGATAAAAAGAAGAAAATTCCCATGAAGAAAAAAAAGTATCCTAATGATGTTCAAATTTTGAGGAGAAAAAAAGGAGACGGGAAATTGTATTAAATTGGGTACTACACGGAGATGTTTTGTGTGTGGGCAACTAAAAAACAATCAAGGGTAGATGGCTAATAATATTTTAATAGGACCAGAAAATTAGAAACCGTATAATTTAATTCTTAATGAAAGCTTAGATATGAAAACGTTTGTCAAATAATTGTCAAAAAAAAAAAAAAAACCCCAAATATAATGATGCTAAAACGTACTCAAGTTTTTTTGGTTTGTTTACTAAAAGATTAGAAAATTATCCTAAAAGTGTGAGAATTTTTTTCTTTCAAAAAGCACGTAACGGACAATTTGAGAAAATGTCTTTTTGATTGACAGCGGAAGTCACTTATTTTCTTTTATGGACAAATTTTTAAACAGGTGCGCACATTATTTTTTGTCAAAGATGTGGAGAAAGTGTGATGAGAATTTCGATGAAAAAACGTGACATTATTTTTAAACTTTTTATTAATTTATAAACTGTATTACTTATTCAATTAATAATAATATTAATTAATGATTAATTACGCATAACAATTAATGATTATATATAATTAATTATTATTAATTATATAATAATATAATAATTATATAATAAAATACTAATTTAACTAGTTTACAATTTATTTAATTTATTAATATAATGAAAAAAATGTATACACTGAAAAAAAGTTATTTTATTCAAAAAAGCAATTTTCTATAATTAAGTAAATATTTATTTGTATCAAATAATTTTTAATTACAACAAAAAAAAAAAGATTTTGTATTTTTAAAGAAATCAGTTTCTTCAACTTGCTTTTGTTTCGTTCCAAATAAATTTTTGATTTTAAATAAAAAGAGGGTTTTTGATTCAAAGAAAAATTCTTTAATTTAAACAAATTTTCTTTTCTTGAAATAACTTTTTTTTATTTAAACAAATTTTCTTTGAATAAACTAATTTTGTTTTTTAAATCAATGACATTTTATCATTAATAAAGATAAAGGGTCAAAGAAATCATTCTTTAATTTATAAAGAACAGTTTTTATAAAACAAATAAATTGTTTTTGAGAAAAAGAAATATTTTTCGAATCTCAAAGAAAAATTAATTAACAATCGAAGAAACAAATCAAAGTAAATGATTTCTTTAATTCAACAAAACTTTTTTCCTAGGCGTAAATTAATTAAAGGTTAATTGCTTCAAATACTGCTGAAAATATTGGTTCAAATAAATATTTATTTGAAACAAATAATTTCCAAAATAAATCATCAAAGATAGGTTCTACTGTAGAGGCAGAAAGAAAAAATACACCTGTATTTTCTGCCTCTAGAGTAGAAAATTGAAAATGTAATGTAAAGACTAATGTAATGTAAAGACAAAAGTTGAAATGTAATGACAAAAACTCGTCAAAGACGTGTTCGACAGCTATTGTTATAATTTATAAATATACAAATAATCGCTTATTTTAATAAAATTAATTTATTTTTAAATAAAATATTTATAATTTTTCTAATATAATATTTTTAAACGATCACTAAAATTATATTGATAAATAATACAAATAAATAAATATTGAAAGTAAATAATAAAAATAATAAAAAAAGAGGCAGAAAAATATATTTTATAAAAATCTTTTATTTTATGTTTTTAAGAAATAAATAACTTTAGAAAAAATAAAAGGATATAAATCAAGTTTATAATTAATGTCAATAGCGACTACTTATGTACAATGTCCTATCTGCTATTGACAACAAGTTGCATATTTTCTTTATTGAAATGTCAATAATAAATTTGATAAAATTTATAACCTGTTTTAAATGAGGTTTCGGTGCCTCGTCTCCCTTTTTTTTGTTAATTAACTGACACATTATATTTCTGACATTTAAATGTTTATTTATATATATTTATTTAAATTAAGTCTATAATATTATCCTAGACGCTATCGAAAAAAAAATAAAAAATTTTAGATACATTTTTTTAATAATAATTTCAACAATATTTTTTATATTATAATTTTACTTTATGCTTCATATACTTCATTATTATTTTTTATTTAAAAAAATATTTAAAAATGAAAATTGAATGAAATATATTAAAATTTTTTTTTAATTTCTTCTTTATTATTAAAATTTTACTATTATTACTTTATATTACTATAATTTACATTATAATTTATTATCCTATTTTAATACATTTTTTATTCTTTTACTTTTTGGAGAAATTGTTTCTTCTTATCAATTTTTATTTCTCTGTACAGAATTTACTTTTGTTTTTTAAATCTGTTAGTTTGTAATATCACACGATTGGACAAATAAATGAAAAACTAAATTAAAAAAAAATTGATTGACTGTTGCTGCATTGAAAATAAAAGAAAAATAAAAAGAAAGTTATTGGTATGCAAAATTAGAAAGAAGAAAGACTTGAACTTACTTCCAGGTATTTGCTCAGTGCTTGGCATAATATCTTCATCACATGAAACATGAACTCTCCAATCAAATTCCTTCATTTTTGAACGATGCATTTTGTCTATTATACTGTCCATGGTCATATTGTGGTTTTTTTAAATTTAAAATGCACTGTTTATGTAAAAATTTCTATTCGATTTTTCTTGTTGGAAAAATAAATTAAAGGCTTCTTGACTATAGTTACTAAACGCGTTTGAATCGAATGAATATACACAAGAGATATCATGGTATACCTGTCTGAGCAGTGAGAGTAAGTCCCCCACTTATTTCTTCAACGTCAAAACGAGTGTTGCAATACAGATTGTCTTATGGGAATTCATTAAAAAAGCAGGGCGCTACAGGAAAATTCACTCTTTAAAACTTTCTCGACGATAAAGCGGAACGCTTATCGACCGAGAAGAAATTTTGAATTGTCAAATTTATTTAACACAATTATATTATATTTGGTTCAAATAAAACATTTTTCTCTAAGAGAGTAATTCAATAAACTCCCAGAAAAATATATATTTGACTTAGAGTTTACTAAATTCTCTATTTATTTTATTTTTTATTTATTTTTATTTATTTGGTTAAAATAAGTAGGCTATGAGGCAAAATATTATTTTATATAATGCAAATATTTGGTTAAAATAAAATTTTTCTCTGGATGATTGCAAGGAAAAACATCATCAATCATAGCAATAGTCGAAGTATGTAGATAATAAAATGGTACAATCAAATGTTTTCTTAAACTTCTTAATAGAAAATTTAAAGAAATAAAATATAAATAAATATTTGCGACAAAAAAATGTTAAAAAAATATTTGGAAAAGAAATCAGACGAAATATTCACTTAAGTTAAATTTACCTTGATTACCTTGGCATTTAACTTAAACGCAAAAAAGCAGACTAAGTATTGCCAAACTTCAAACCCGAATTATTTTTCTGATATAACGGGAACAATTTGATTAAATTCAAGAACAGTAATCTTTAATCAGAATTTTTTTAAATACTGAAGATCTGTTTGATTTAATCGATATTTATTTATATCAAAGGAATATAATTATTCTTCAAAGAAATAATTACAATAATTACAATTATTTTAATATTGAATAAATAGAAGTCAAAGAAAAGAAGATTCTTGAAACAATTAAAATTTTCTTCTGCTGTCAAGTTAAGAAATATCGAAGTTTCTATTTATGTTTTGCAAAAAAAATTAGAATAGACATTTGAACAAAATGAAGAAAATTTAATATCAATTTTCTTGGCACTAAAAATTAACAATAATATTATCAGAGCAAATTTAATTTCTAATTTCGTGAAATAGTTAATTTTTACATAAGTCGATTACATGGTATTTGCTTCAAATACTAAAATCATTAGCTCAAATAAAATTTGTTTGATTTAATTAAAAAAGTTTTTGATTCAATTAAAAAATTTTGTGATTCAATTAAAAATTATTTGATTCAAATAAATATTTATTTGCTAATGGACAAGTAATCGTTTATATAAATCAAAAACAATTTTTTTCTGTGTCTCTAAATCAGAAATGGTTCAAAATTTTGATGTATTTAAATTTAAATACATGACATTTTTTTGCTTTTGAATCAGTGAAAATTTAATATAAATTTAATTTAATGAATTAGTATTTATAAGTAAAAAATTTTCTACTGATGAACCTGTAAATTTTAACTGATTTAAAAGCAAAAATTCAGTCACTGATTCAAATTGAAGTTAAAATTTTAGGATTCAGATCTGGAGCAGACAAATAGAAAAGTGTAAAGCAAGTGACATCTTACGAATTTTTTCAAAAATTTGTATTCAAAGTAGAAAACCTGCATGTTGAAAGTAGGTAAAAGTTATGATGAAAGTTTTACCAACAGTTAGCAGCTGCGTTCGTTACCATTCGGAGGTGAAAGGTATAATTTTTTTCACCCTAAAAGAAATGGGACGAAAAACTGCTTTACCTACTATCAAGGGCTTTTTAAAAATGATGTGATTCAAATGTAAAAATTAATTTTCTTCCCAAAATTCAGAAAATGTAGATTTTGTTGAATTATTTTACATTTAGGGTAAATATTATACAAAAAATATGCAACTCCTGTATATTATTGAATAGTGCTGAATAAATTTTTTCTTAATTACATGAAGAAAAAATTTATTTGAATCAAATAAAAATTATCTGATTTATTTAAATGATTTACTTGTCTATTATCCACTAAATATTTATTTGAATTAAGTAAATATTTACTGGACCTAAGTATTTTATTTTATATCGAATTAAATAAAATTATGAGTCAATAGAATTATAAGTTACCCCTTCAAATAATTTAATTAAGAATAAACCTCTCCAAGTAATATAAGAAAACTAAATATTTAAACGAAATAAATAAATAAATACAATACAGTTTTAAATAACTCTTTATTTTCGTTTCAATAAATATTTTTTACTTACCTAATCAAAATATGATTTTATTTGTTTCTATAAAATAATACATATATTAGTATATTAAATATTACATTATTAGTATATTAAATAATACATTATTTGTATATCAAATAATTTAGTTTAGTTGAATTAATAACATAATTTTATTGTGTCCAATAATTCTCATTTATGTCAAAGAATCAAATATTTGAGTGGAATACTCTGAAACAAAATTTATTTGATTCAAATAATCATTTGACTATTATATCAATTGAATATTTACTTGAATTAAATAATTTTTATGTGATTCAAGTAGACATTTAATTGATAATAATCACTTGATTATTATTAATCGGTTATTTGAATTAAATAATTTTTTTTTCAGTGTAAATGAATAAGTTGTTTAAGTACCATATTATTTTAGTTCCAATAAATTATTTACTAGATTTAAATATTTTTTATTTGTTTTTACAAAATAGTATAATTAAATAATACATTATTTCCATCAAATATTTAGCTTACTTTAATTCATAAAATAAATTAGCTGGACCAAGTAATTTTTATTTGTTTCAAAAACGTAAATATTTGAATGAAATAAATATAATTAATAAGAATAATAATTTATTCTTATTCTAATAAAAATTAATTTATTCTTATGATAATAAAAATATAATTGTACATTATGCGTCAAGAGTCACAGGTGCGTCTTTATAGTCGATCAATGATTTTTTTATTCACCTAGGGTAATAATGAGTACTTTATAGGCCAGTGTGTGTGGTTAATAAAGTGACAATTATTGTCCTAGAGCAATAATAGCAACTTTATTGACCTGCAAGCGATCAATGAAGTGACCATTATTGCCCTAGGGTAATAATGGGTACTTTATTAACCTGCAAGAGATCAATATGGAGAAAATTTGTTTTTTCACCTACGAAAAATTTTTTTTTATTATTTTTCATAATACGACTGAGTTGCATAAAAAAATAATCATCTACCAAAAAAATGAAGAAAAATTAACTATTTCTACACTAAAACTCAAACATTTATTAAATCATAAAAGGTATAATGATGTCCATTACCTTAACAAACAGACATTTATTTAAATTGCTCACCGTTTCATGGAAAATTCTCAGCCGCTATTAAATTTGCGATGAGCAGATTTTATCTGACACATGCTACATGTAAGGTATTCCCCACGACCCTATTCCCGCGCCTAAGGTGAACTTTCCTTTTCCTTGAACTTGGAAAATATATTATTTACCTTTCGATCTCAAGATCGTGCCAGTAGTCGAGGGAGGAAAGTTTGAGTTTTTACAAAGGACATCATTTTTATAAAAAAAATACATATACGTACAAGTTTATATCTTCACTGAAAAAGAAAAAAAAATTCCAACAACACAACATTGCGCTAGTGGAACATTGAATCGCAATATAAGAAAGAAGCATAGTAGAATTAATTACTCCGATCAGCCATATACATATACCTGGGGACAGGAGATTCAAACCTGGGCAAGATAGAGAGAGAGTTTGAAAGTAGGCCTTCATCGTTCAGTCAGTTGTCGACTTCGTCGTCAGGCGATTTGCCGACGCCGGCGTGATGGTGAGTTTTCAAATTGTGCAAGTGTTTACTAAAATTTATTGAAAAATAATATATCAGGAAAAATTATTAACATGGGGGTGAGTTAAAAGCAAAATTTGTTCGAAAAATATATCTGATCGTATAAAATACATTAACTACTTGTAGAAAATAAATACTCGATAAAAACAGTATGAAAATATACTGAAATATTATTACTAAAGTATAAAAAAATATTCATACTAAAAAAACAATTTAATAAAATCTAATTAAACATTTATCAGTAATTAATTGTCATTAATATTAAAATAATTTTATCAATAAATAGTATTTAAAAAATTTAAATAATCATTTATCATTGTTATTTAAAAAATTCAAATAATTATTTTACATTAATTAATTAATAATTATTAATATCTAAATAATTTTTAAATTTTTTTTTTAAATCTATAATAATTTTAAAAAATTAAATAATTACTTATCATTAACTAATCAATAATCGTTAATATATAAATAATTTTATCATTAAATAGTCATTTAAAAAAATTCAAATAATAATTTTCCTTTTAACTAATTAATAGTTATTAATATCTAAATAATTTTATCAATAAATTAAATACTAATTTAAAAAAGTTAAATAATCGTTTATCATAAATTAATTAATAATCATTATTATCTAAATAAATTTATCAATAAAATATCCATTTAAAATAATTTAAATAGTTATTTTTCATTAATGAATTATTTTTAATTTTTATTTCACGATTATTTTTAATTTTCTTTGATCATTTAATTAATTTTCTAGATTATTTAATTTCATGATTTAAAAAAAATGAAGAAATAAAATTTAAAAGGCGTTTTGCACTCAATTACATCAGATTAATTTGCACCAAATTGACTCGTTAAAAAAATTTATGTTTCATATTAAAGTGCGTGTTTTAAGTAATTAGTGCATTACCTCTAGTAATAATTACTAATCTTTGTGTAATCTTTCTTATTTCAAAATTAAAACACTTTTCATTTCCTCCAGAACAATTGGATAAATCAAAAATATTTTCTAATTATGAAAAATTGCAATTACAAATGAGTTCATTAATGGGATGAGAAAAAAAGATTAAACTTCCAATTAGGATCAATTAAAAAAAACAAAAATAAGAATAAAATTTTCAAAATTAACAATTAATTTAATTAATTCAATTAACTTATAATTACCTACTTGAAAAAATTACATTCTATTAATTATATTAATTTTTAGTTATCAAATAATTGACAATTGAAAAAAATAATCTTTATTAATTAAATTATTTCTAAACAAGTTTTGAACGTTCGAATGTACGAAATATTTGCCATTAAAAATATTTCCATACATTTTTGATTGGAATGAAAATTAAAAACTTAAATTTAGAAAATATATAATTTATTTTTTTATACGTGACGCAGTATTTTTGTAATAAAATTATAATTTGAAGAAGAAATAAATTAATTTCCTTTATTTGAAAGTTTAAAACTTAATAAGAACATAATTATTCAAATTAGTTTATAATTACTTGAACATTTTTTTATTAATTTATTGAATGAAAAATTGTTTTCATTAACCTAATTAATTAAATTAGTGATAATTAAAAAAAAACGATAAATAAATTGTATAAACTTTTATTAACTAAACATTGAAAAAAAATGTATTTGATTCGAATAAACGATTTGTTGTCATTTACTTAATACAAATAAACGATAATTTGTCATTTACTTGATTGAAATAAACGATTTTTTGTCTATTATGAAATAAATATGTATTTATATTAAATAATTTTGATTTAAGCCATTTAAATAGTATTTGCGCCAAATACCGAAATTATTGGTTCAAATATTGAAATTCTTGATTAAAAAATTTAAATTATTTTGTTGTAGATATTAATAATAAAATTAAATATCAAATACAAATTTATATAAAATAAAATAAAATTAATTAACTAATTAAATTTTTTATTTGATTTAAATAAAAATAATTTGATACAAATAAATATTTCTTTGATATTAGACAAATAATCGATTACTTGAACCAAATAATTTCTTTCAAGCGCAAGTTGATCGAAGAGAAAATAAAAAAACTACTTTTCGCCACAACAATAGAATAAAGAATTTTAATTTCAGACGAAATTTGTTGTCAACTGAGAATAGTGACAAGAATATTTTGTGAAAGGCTCTGGACAATTGTTCAACCGAAAAATTATTTCAATCAACTGGTGCATTAATGGACTGACAAATACCGTGTTCGATGACCCATGTACAACCTTCACGAGTAGAAGAGAAAATAATTGTCATTTTATTATTTTTTTTTTAAGAAGAGTCATTTTATTTAACATATCATTAGGTCTGCTCTTTAAAAAGGGTCACGTTCACTGACGATGAAAGCCACTTTCATTTTCTACTATCATCTTCAGAATCATTAACCGTGTCTAATATAAAATATATACCATTCTATTGTCACAAATATGCAACTTTACTTGAAAGAATTACATAAATCTTTCACCTATCACCAAAGCCAACAACCTCAACCAAAAACAGAAGCTGAGAATAAAGAATAAATATTTCAATAATAAATATATAAATATTTTTTTCAATTTAATTAAATAATTTATTAAAATAATTTAATAACATTATTAATAGATTCATTCACATGATTTAATTTACTTTTCTTTCAATTAATTTATAGATTTCAATTTGTAATTAATAGTTTAAAAAAATATAAAAAATTATTAGACTTTTTTATTAATAATTATTAAATTATTAATTAAAAATAATTAATCTTAAAACAATCATTCAAATTCCATACATTTCCGATTTTCTGAAAAAAAATTAAACACCGGAAACTTGTGTAACGTGCAAAATCGCAATAAGAAACAAAACGCAGTGTTAAATAAACTAATCTAAATCACAAACACGATATCCCGTATTTCTCCTTAAGTTTGCCTATAGTTTCGATGCAAATTTTTCTTCATACGTATTAAAAAAAAAAGCTGTAAAAAATCTCTTAAGTTCAAAGACCGTTTAAAAGAAAACGGGAAAAAGAATACGTAGAATATAAAATAACGGAAATTCAAATATGATGCAACAGGTGCAAAACTTTGTGTAAAATAGGAGAGACTATTGGCACTGTAATAAGCACATGCATAATAAACTATGTTTAGAATTACGATGAGTCTTGTCTTTTTTCAAAAAATAAAAAAAAGAAGAAACGAAAAAAGTAATAATAAATTCTCGACTTTCTCGATACCGGTCACCTCTCCCAGTCAAGGATCTTCCATAATATTAATGAAGATTTATGAATATGTAAATATTGAATGGAATATCTCGTATTAAAATAATCTTAATGAACTGAACCAAGTTGCACAAGGTGAACGTTTACTGACCTTAACAAAAAAAGTAAATAAATATTTACTTGTTCTACTTCTGTTATGAATTAATTTTTTTTACTTAATTTAATGTTTAAATTATTATTAATAATTATTTTTTATTTTATTGTTTATATTATTGTACATATAAAAATAATAATAACAATAAAATAAATATTAAATAACTTATGTTATGTTTTAATTGTTATATGTTTTAATTTTTTTATTAATTAATATTGTAAATAAATATAGTTTTACATATTACCAAAATAACTGTATTTAGGCCTTTTATTAGGTACAAAATAAATATTAATGAAATTAATTTAAAAAATATTAAATAATTTAATTAGTTAATTAATTTTTAAAAAATCCTATCAATCATCAGTAATTTTTTGTTATTTAAAAACAATAATCTTTCGCCCACAAATTAAATATGATTACAAAAATAATCTGCATGAGGATTAATTACTTAAATTATTTAATTAGTTTAATACATAAAAAAGATTCAAATAAATAAAGAAAGAAATGAAGAAATAAAAATTATTTTTATTACAAACGTTATTAGAAATAATGTTCAATTTTCGTTAAAAACTTAAAAATAATATAACTTTCTACAAATTCAATTTATGATGTGAAAGCTGAAAGAATTTCACGTATTAGAAATATCTTTAAATTCTTTTTAAACCTTCCGTTTAGTGAATGATTCTGGTAACAAATAAAAGAAGCTAATGATCACGTGTGAAACAATTCTGATTGATTAAATAATGATACCTAGTAGTTAAAATAACTTCCATCTTATATCAAATAGTTATACAATGATATTACAACTCACGATTTAATTTTTCCGTATTTAATAATATTCTCTTGTGTTAATTACTTTTCCAATAAACAATTTTGTAATTTTTTTAATCATCTATTATTGTTATATTTTTTTAATCATTTTAATCATTTTAGCCTTAAATTATTTATTTTTCTTTCAGTATCGAATGCTTCAATTTAATATTTATTATTTTTGCGTATTCATATTAAATTCTATTTTTAATTATTTTTTCCAATATACGATTTTATAATTTCTTTTAATAATTTACTTATGTAATGATAAAATAATTTATTTTTCTACCAATTTGTAATAATTTAATTTTTTAATATTTTCGATTTTCACCTATTTAATACATAATAATGTTTGTTATATAATTTTCGTTTGCTAATTACATTTTCCAATAAACGATTTTACTATTTATTTCCCAATCATCTATTTGATCTAATCATGAAATAATTTATTTTTTCTTTCAGTTTCTAATACTTTGCCTATTGGCCACTGTGAGCCTAGGCCGATGTCTCGATCATCTTCCCACTCGAGAAGAAATCGAAATATCCATAAATCGTACAATTCAGGAAGTGGAGAAAAAAATTCAAGCCGATCCCACTTTACCGAAACTCTCGAGAAAAGATATTGTCGATATTCTTCAAAATATCACAACAAAAGATTTAATATCCGATTATAAAACTCTAGAGAATACAAGAAATGATTATCAAAGGGCATTGATGGTTGTTCTACCATACAATTCAAATGGTGCCGAGGAGCATCTCAAAGATCTCTACACGAAACCACCAATAATTCAAATGCTTTCAGACGACGACGTTTTTCACGAGCAGGAAAAGAATCGTCTATCAAATGAGAATTCCTTAAAAAAACAAGTTTCCGATAATTTTATACCAACTTTCCCCACCTCTCACCACTCGATTCATGAGTCAGTGGATAAACAACACGGGGACAACGAGGAGAAAGTCGATTCCAAATTAAACTCAACACCTGAGAAATTTAGTTTCGATTTGGAGAAATTGAGCGAAATTTTGACAACCACGAGTGTGAGACCCGTTTACACTTGGCGACCAGTTTCAAAGGAAACGGATTCTCCCCAAGATGTCATAACTTCCGTTTCTACAACAGAAGCACCATTCTCGAAATCAACTCAACATGTTTTGTCTTCTGATCAATGGCGTTATCATCCACCTCCCACGACATCTTCTCCTTCAACAAATTCCAAGACTTATTTAACGACACAAAAATCTCCGTCTGTACTCAAAGAGTTCTTCCTTCCAACTATTCAAAGTTCCCCCGAGGTTAAATACAAAAATCAGCAGACTGATTCAAATGTTTTCAAATTTCTCGAATCGGAAGCAATGACCTTACCAACTACCAAAACGGACCAAAGTGTTCCACTTTTCGTAACACCGATGCATGACCAGAAAGTAGACAACTCTCCCAAGTTGGCAGAAGTCAACAATGGGAACACAATGCCAACAATGAGACCCGAAATCGAGGATCTCCTAAAATCAATCGGCCTCCAACCACTAAAAACACCATTGGATTTGACATTCGACAAAAAGGAGACGCAATTTCAAATTCCAGACTCAAATAATTTGGTCTACGGTCCAACGTTCGGAGTGACAAATACAGGAGTCGATACTCTCTCCATCGCTCAACAGAATACGTTCGACAATTCTGATCAAATAAATTCTGGTCAAACTAGTTCCGATCAAATCACAAAAGGCGTTAGCAATTTAACCCCAAGTGTTCAACTCCTCTTCAAAAAATTCGGTCTGCCTACGAATTTGGATTTCGAGGCACTAACAACATCGACTACCACCACAACAACAACAGTGAAACCCACCCAGGCGAGTTACTACTCCTACACTAATTTCAAACCCCTACCGAATTCTTCGGTTCGTGACAAGGAAATGAGGGATTTCTTGGCGAAATTCGGACTCGGTGTTAGTGCCAGTGAATCAAGAAGTCAGAAGGCAATGAAGCAGAATAGACAAGTGACGCCTCCGTCTCTAATTGAAGCCGTGCCCATGAACATGAAGCGAATTTTGGAAAATATCGGTCTCATCAGACCTAGAGCGAGAATTGATGACATAAAAAAACAGCAAGTCAACAACAAACCCCAAACAACAACTCCTGCGAAATTACATGTCTTCAAACCCCAGGAGTCATCAGTGTTCAACGATCAACAGAGAGCGAAAATCAATGAATTATTAAACACCGTGAAGAAGGTTCAAAAGGGAAAGGCTACAATTGACGATGTTCAGAGAGTCGCTGACGAGGTACTCGAGTCCACAAAATCGCTACCAGAGGGACCGGATCCCGTCAGTCTGGAAGAAATTCTCAAACTTTACAAAGAGGACTTGAAGAATGAAGTGAAACGGCGTCAAACTACCGACACGGACATTAAAGCAACCACTACGGAAATGACACCGAAAAAGGAGAAAATCGTCAAGAAGGAAGTCGCCAAGGAAGAAATGGTCAATGAGAAAATTGTCAATCCGGAGAATATTAATCCACAGATTACTAATACGAAGAATATTAACACCGAGAGTACTAAAACCGAAAATATTAATACCGACAACAAAAATAATCAAGTACTAGAAAAAAGTCCCAAGGAGAAAAATACTGGAAATTTACCGAAGGAAATCAGTAAAGAAAGTGTGAAAGTAAACCCAGAAGTTGCAAACAAAGAAAAACGGGAGGATGATAAGAAGAAGGATACAACAACAGAGGAGCAGAAGATGATCAGTTTTTCTTCATCAGCCTCGAGTGGTATTAAACAATTCATGACTAATATATTGGGTCCCTCTGAAATGTGGTATGGCAAAATTGTTGGTGGTTTTTCGAAAGTCAAGACTTTCTTTACTAATGTTGCTGGTAAACTGAAGCATGCAATCAGCTACTAATGGCATTTATAAAACACAAATTCATTATTTTGTCCAACTCTTTCTTCATCAACTTTATCAACTTCTTTCTTGTAACTTCGTTAAAAAATCTACTTTTCACTTAGTAAGTGTAATTTCCCTGATGGAAATAACATTTCTAAAAAATTAACCAATTCACAATTGCTTAAAAATGCGAATTAATTTAATCAACAAAAAATGTTTTTGCTGTAAACTAACCGCTTTTTAATGCTTTAAATTTTGAGATAATTTAATCAGTTAGCCACAATAATAATAATTTTTGGGAGAATTTTTAAATTAAAAATGTTAGTTTAAATAATATTTAAAAATTCTACTCGAAGAATAAAATTAGGTAGATAGATAAATTAATTAATTTTAAAATAATAACTGTCTTTACAATAATACACAAATTAATACGGCTTTCTGTAAAATTTTCTGCTCTCCATGTTAAGAAAGGACTAGTTTTCTCCCTAGAGTTATAATTAATAATTTTGGACTTTAGGAATAAAACAAGTCTCTTTAGCCACTAGAATTAGAAGGAGTAATTTTAGTCCCATGAATTAAAAGAAGTAGTTTTGCTTTCTATAATTAAAACGAGTTTCTGTACTCTCTAGGATTGATAAGATTATAATTTTACTGCCTAAGATTAAAGCAAGCCTTTTACTCCCTAGTAGTAAGACAATTAATTTTATTCCCTGTGACTAAATGATTTTTCTTCCTAGGATTGAAATGATGCTTTTTAATCCCTAGCATTAAAACTATTTTATTTTACTTCCTATTATTAAATCGATTTTTTCCCTATAATTAAAAGGAGTAATTTTACTCCTTACAATTAAAAAGAGTCTTTTTATTCTCTAGATATGAAACTATTAATTTTACTGCTTAAGATTAAAACAAGTCATTTACTCCCTATTATTGAAACGATTTATTTTTCTTCCTATGCCTAAAATAATTTTTTCTCCCTAGGATTGAAACGATTCTTTTTACTCCCTAGGAATAAACAATTCTTTTTACTCTGATTAAAACAAGTCTTTTCAATTTCTAGAATAGAAAGGACTAATTTTACTCCCTAGGGTGAAAATAAGTCACTTTACTTCTTAAAATTAAAATGAGTCCTATTCTTCCCTACAATTGGCATGAATTTAAAAAAAAATTGTTTGATAGAAACTGATTATTTCTACTATATCAGGAAATATACAAAAATAAAAAGCATCTGACTGTTAATTAATTTCACCACTAATACAGAATTAATAATAATTTTGGAAGACTGTCTAAAATTTTCTTTGACTATTAAGAAAAAATTTAATTTGTTATTTGACAGTAAATGTCACTAATTACTTAATTTCTAAGATTAAAACGAGTCCTTTAACTCTGATATTTGAATCGAGTAATTTTGCTTTCTAGAGTTAAAATACGTCATTTTACTCCCTAGGATTAAAATTCTTTTCTACTCCGTAAGATTGAAACAAATTAACTAAGGCTTTAAATGAATAATTTTGTTCCCTAGAGTTCAATAAAGACTCTTTACTTCCTAGGCTTCAAACTACTCCGTTTTCTCCCTAGAATTAAAATAATCAATTTTATTTACTAAGATTAAAATCAGTTCTCTTTTATACTCTGGCGTTAAAAATATTTTTTACTGCTTGGTATTAAAAGAAGTTCTTTTTATTCCCTAGACTTAAAACAAGTTTTTTTCTAAGGTTAAAATCAAGCGTTAAATGTCATTTTACTTCTTGGGGTAAAAACAAGTTCTTTACTCCCTAGAGCTAAAACAAGCCATTTTACTCCGCAGTACAGAAACTATATTTTACAACCCAAGATTAAAATAAATCGTTTTACTCCCTAAAGATTTACTAAAGATTTTACTTAATGGGAAAAAGCAGGTTCTTTTGACCTATAGGGTCAAAAGTATAGTTATTTTCCCTAGAAATTTGGATTTTTGGGCACTGTGTAAAATAATGATTCTACACAATGCCCAAAAATCAAAATCTAATATACAACGATTTGGATCAACATACAATGCTTAATACATTCTAATTAAAACATGATTGAATTAAACCCAATTTATTCATATCAATTAAAATGCAAAATATTTTTTTTTTCACTATTCTAAGAAAAATTTATTTTATCTTCTTTCATAACTGAGATTATTTTTTTGCATATGTGTTTACCTTTATAACCGCAGCCTTGCTATTTTCCTAGTTACATCATTATGTACTTTTTCTTTGCCCTTTATACTCTGGTAATTTTTTCTTTTCTTTTAAAAAAAAAAAAAAAGAAAAAAAATTACAGAATTGCGTGTGAATGGAACTTTGCGTGTACTAGTTGCATGTTGATTAATAAATGGCTATGGCTCAAGAAGTTTTCTTAATGCCAAATTAAAGGGGGTCTCGATACTTAAAAAACGACACTTGATAAATTTTATGTTAGTATAATATTCTGGTGAAAGGCAAATTTAATCATTCAACTATAAAAAACAAATTTATTGTGAAAGTTTGCGACAATTTTGTAATCAATTTTTTTATATATTACATTCCCTAACGAAAGTAATTTGGAAATAAAATCTATGGTTAATTCAACCAAATAGTTTGGTTGTACAAAATTTTTCTAAGAAACTTATCATATAGATAAATCTCTTGTCTGATTTTATAGAATAGTTTATAATTACTGGGAAAAATTTATTGCTTATCGACACTGAACTAGTTTGTTTGACTAATTATACTTTGCTTAACTACTTGTTTTCATTCAAATTAAATATTTTTTTAAGACAATTTTAATTAATTGTTACAAATTTTTACCTTTGTTCAAAATATGTTTTTTATAAAAATACAAAACATGTTTTTTTACCTTTTTAAAAATTGTTTCTTGCAATATAAAAATTATTTTTTAACATACTAGGAGAAAAAAATAGTTGGAGTTATCATTTCTTTCAAGATAATTTTTAGTTTTTACACTAGAATTATGTTCATAATCTAATAAATTAACAATAAATTTTAGACTCTGAGGCAGCTGCACAAGACATTGTTTACACATCAGTGCCAACAACGACTGCGAGTTCAACAACAATAACAACAACAACAGCAAAAACTAAAGGATCATTTTTCGACACTTTTGATTTTGATGCTGCTGTAAAGAATGCTAATATAGACACAACGAATACTTCCTCAAAAGAAAATTCCAACACCAATATAGCTGCACTCGAGGAATCATTTGGAGGAACAACTCAAAAGCCTGATCCAGTTTTACCGACGCGACGAAGAACTGGTCTCTATTTTCTTGTAGATTGGAATACATTTTTGGAAGTTGGAGAAGATGGCAAGGAGAAGGTAAATTTGAGATTCCAACCGAGAGCTGGCGATAGAACTCGATTTGTCAAAGTAACCGTGCCGTAAATTCTTCTAAAGAATTATTTAAGAAAAAAATTTTTTTTTACCTTAGTTTTATATTATTTTTCTAGTTCAAATTTAGTTTCGACGTACACCGGAAATGGTGGAAGGTTATACTAAAGACGAATGTATTTCATCACGCAGAAAGTTCCAGTAAATTTTTAGTCTTATCAATAATTTAATTTTTTCTACAATTATGGGCATATCTCTGGAATTTCTAACTTTTCACTAATCAAAAATATAAAAGTTTTAGTTAATAAAGAAAAATTATTTTCCGACATTGTAAAATTTTTTGTTAAAAATTATTATTTCTATAGAATAAAAGTTTACTATTTCTGAAGTAAATTTTCCTAATTTATTTCTTTCGGAAATAATAAAAGTTCTTCTGGAAATAACAATTTTTAATAGTAAATTTTACTATTTTTTAAAGAAATTTTACCAAGTCCGAAATAAATTTTACTAATTTTCACTGAAATTTTTTTCGAATATAGTAAAATGCATGAGATTTTAAAACAATAGTAGTATTCTAATAAAGAAATTGATTAAAAATTTAAAAAATTAGTTGAAGACTATAGGGAAAAAGATAAAAAAAATAATAATTAAAAGAAAAAATTGAAGAAAAAAGTCACATTTCAAAAAGCTGCAATTAAATGAACAGAAAATTGATATTTCCAAGAAAGAAAAATAACTGAAACTATCCAAATATAATTACTATAAAATTTAAAGAATAAAAAAGTTGAAGATTCCAGACATATACTTTTATTTAATTTAAAATTATTTTTCTTTTTCTTACATATAACGATCAAAAATTTACTGGACTTGTAAAGTTAATTAATTTATTGTACATTCCGAATACTTGCGCTCTAATCAAAGTTGAATTACATATTTTTAATAAAGTTCGATTGTTATGTACAGAATATAATTTAAAAAAAAACTATTTTTATAGATGGTATTTTATTATATAGAAATATATTTAAAAGCACAAAAGATATAATTTATTGTTTCTCGAATATTAAATATTTATTATTGTTTTTGCAAAGAAATAATTTTACTTTTCAACTATTTTAACGAACTTGGAAATAAATGAATAAATATTCATTATAATCAGTATTACAGATTCACTTGAATAATTTCTGCTACGAATTTTATTCAAGCGTAAACGTAAAATAATATAGAAAATATTCTTTATATATATGCGAGAAAGCCTCTATTCATTTTGTGATTGTTAATAATTTAAATAAACCTACAATTTTATACTTGTTAAAATCTTCAATTATTTCTTTTTATTCATATTAATTCGCTTCCTTAACGATGCTGAGAGTCAATCTCTTTTTGATTTGGTAGTTGAATAATTATTTTAAATTATACAAAATACTGAATATTAAATATTAATTTTAATTTTTTATTTTAGTATTTAGATTTTCTAATTAAATCAGCTCTCAAAATTTGAATTAGTAAAAATGTTTACTAGAATTAGTGACTGACTTTTTGCTTTTGAATTAGTAAATTTTACTACTAAATAGTAATTTCTACTAATTTATTAGTAAAATTTACTAATTCAAACGCAAAAGTAGGTCACTAACTTAAATTTGTAAACATTTTTACTAATTCAAATTAAGAAAGAGTATTTAGTTTTTCTTATTAAATTAGTAATTAGTATTTAATATTTTAATTCTAAATGCTAAAAATAAAAAATTGGAAGTCAGTTTCGTAAAAAAGCCGTATTGTCTCGTGTTAAATTTCAGAATAAAGATAGTTGAAAAAAGAATAGCAACAAATAGAAACTGATTGAATTGTGAATAAGAAATATAACTTTCGAAAATTCGTTGTAATAAATTGTATAGCAAACGATTTACAACGAAAGTGCTGTACTTCATGCGATTCACTTTCCACAGGAAGAAAAAAAATTGTGTAATAAAATCGTTGACTCTTGTTATTTATGTGTATGCTAATAAAACTTTTTCCTCAAGTACTTTAAAATTTTTTTTTATTCCTACATTTCTAGTAATTTTCACCTGTACGTTTAGCTTTATAAAATGCAATTATTTCTTCATCAATATCAGGATCACCACTAAGTGGTAAAGATTTGTCAAAATCAAAAACTTCCTCTTTTTCTTCAGCATAAAAACAACTTCTATTACTCAACGAAGAAAAGTTTTCCGTCAACTTAATTAATTCTTCCTCTAAATTATCATCATTTTTCGCTAATAATTTCTCCTCTAATTCTTTTGCCGAGCGTTCGATATTTATTGCATTTCCATTGTCAAGTGAAATGAAAGACGATACTTTTTGTCGTGGTGAATTAAACGATTTCAGAGGAATTCTCGAGTCAATAATGTTTGCCTGGAATTTGTGCATTAAATCAGTGGAATTTTTTTCTGTAGAACAAGAAGGCGGCGATGAAAAAGAAGATGAAGATGAAGAGGAAGATGAAATTTCCCTTTTTGAAGAATTTAGAAACTCAATGTTTGAGTTACTGGGCGAATGACATGCGGAGTTGTTTATGCAAATTGGTTTTTTTGAAAGTTCCAATAATCTGGTAACGTTCGCAGAATGAGCTTCACTTTTCACACTTGATGTGAATTGTGAACTTTCAAGTTTGCGAGAAGATCCAAGACTTTGATCTTTTGCGACGTCAATATGATTTTGCAATGACTCTCCATTTTCCAGACTGATGAAATCTTTTGATCTACTGTCAAAAGTTGTAAATAAATTATTCGTTTGTAACTAAAAATAAATGAAAGGTGAAAGCAATGTAAATTTGCAAGAAATGCAAAGACCTTTCATTTTTATTTTCTTTTTTTTTACTCTTACAAAATAATTTTTAAACATTATTTCAAAATTTTAATTTATATTTGATTCGATTAATTAGTAGAAATTAGAAACAGAAGAGATTTAATTCTTTTATTTCTATTTTTGGTATTTTCTTCTCTCTGAATTTGAATTAGTAAAAATGTTTACTAATTTGAATTAAAGCCTGACTTTTTGTTTATTTTGAATTAGTAAATTTTACTAATAATTGGTAATTTTTAATAATTTATTAGTAATTTTTACTAATTTATTAACAATAATTACTAATTCAAAATAAGCAAAAAGTTAGTCGGGAATTCAAATTAGTAAACATTTTTACTAATTCAAATTCAGAGAAAAAAAATACCAAAAATAGAAATAACTATAAATTTATAACACGAATTTACATTTTGTCTGACAAAAAACGTCTGTTACTACTAAGAGCAAAAGAATGGCAATTAAAAGTGTTTTCTGACTATACCTGACTGTGACTACTAATTCCAAAATTTTTAAATCGCTTGACAGTTTGTATCTAATTTGTATTAGAGAGCAAAGAGTTCCTATTACTAATACTGATTAAAAAAAGTAAATTCTAGTTCTAGAATTAATGAAAAATTGAAAACTGAAACTCTATAGTCTGACAATAACTTTCACAATCTCCTAAAAGCAAATTGTCATAGATTTTTAAAAATTCTTTTCTGAAGGAAATAACTGTCACTACTGCAAGCAAAAGAATTCAATAATTTTAATGTTGTCTGATCATGACTGACCTTATTCACTAGTTAAAAGCAAATAAAATTTTACAAAGTTTTACTGCAACTATTTTTGAGATTTTACAGGAAAAATAAAAGAATCGTATTACTCTCCACTGTTAAGACAAAACATTTAATTCCTAGAATTAAAATGAGTCTTTATCATTCTTAGTATTGTCATTAATTCTTTATACCTTCATGTCTGATCTAAACTGATTGTTTCTACTAGCAGGAAAAAATATAAAACATATTAAAAGTCTGACTATCGAAAAATTTTACTACTAATTCTGAGTTAATAACTTGTAAAGTCTAAATCCTTTTTTGACCTAATAGAATTTTTTTATAGTTATATTACAAAAAAGTATAAAATTGTCTTATTACAAACGACCTATACTACTGAAAACAAAAGTACAATAGTCAAAATGGTTGTCTGACTATATAATTGACTCTAACTACTAATTCAAATTTTTTTTTCAGTTTGACGAATTTTGTTTTTATTAATTAAAATTCAAATACAAGAACAAAAATTCGAGTCTGATTATAAGTGACATAATCCACTGAGGTAAAAAATAGAAAAATTCCCTATTAGTGCAATAAATCATTTTACTTTCTTGGATTAAAACGAGTCAGTTACCTTCCTAGAATTATTTAGAATATTTTAAAACTTTTTGTCTTATTAAAACTTACTATTTCTACTAACAGTAAAAAATACAAAAAATAAACAAAGTCTGACTGTCAATGAATTTTACTACTAATTCACAATTAATAATTTATTTATGAAGTCTAGACATTTTTTGTTTGAACGAATCTTTCTCTTCGAATTTTGGACAAATTATCGAAAACATAATCTTGCCTGATTAAAAACAACTAGAATCAAAAGAAGTAATTTTACACCTAGAATTAAAACGATTCTTTTTTCTCTCTAGGGTTAAAACGATCAATTTTACTGCTTGAGAATAAAACAAGTGATTTACAAAATATTGAAAAATTCAAGTCTTACTGAACCAGCATTTTACTACTGATAGCAAAATCTAAATAATGTAAATCAGTGTCTGACTAAAAATGAGTTTTACTACTACTTGTAAAATATATTAAAAAATTCATATTTTACTGAAATAGGATTTTACTACTGACAGTAAAATGGGGATAATATAAATCAGTGTCTGACAGTAAAAGAGTTTAACTACTAGTTTCAAAACATTGAAAGATTGAAGGCTGACAAACGCGGAACTGTACTACTGATACTTAAATATTAATAATATAAATCAATGTCTGAATAACAATTATTCGACTACTAATTTACAAAATATTGAATTATTGAAGTCTCAATGTAACGGGACTTTACTACTGATAGCAAAATCTAAAAATGTAAATCAGTGTCTGACTAAAAATTGTTCTACTACTAATTTACAAAATATTGTAAACATTTGTCTTACTTTAACGGGAGATTACTACTGATAGCAAAATGGCAATTATATATCTCAGTGTCTGACTGTAATAGGGTTCTACTACTAGTTTCAAAATATTGAAAAAATGAAGGCTGACCAAAGCGGAAGTGCACTACTGATACTTAAATATTAATAGCAAATCAATGTCTGGCGAAAAATTTTTGTCTAATTACCTTTTTTGGCTTTTCACTTCAATTAAAATATATTAAATTTGATGCAAAAAAAATTATTTTCAAAGTATCTAAATACCTCATAATTGTTTCAGCATCACCACCTCCTTGAATTACTCTCCCAAGAGTATTATCATTTGCCACCATACAATTTTTCCCTCCTGCAGCATCCTGACTATTGACTAAAGTCTCCAAATCCAAATTTTTGCTTTCAACAAAAATTGATTCCTTCGATGAAGATTTCGATACTAAACTAAATTTACTCGAACTTTTCGATTTCTTTTTCTCCTCTCTAAAAGAACGTTTCGAACCACGTTTCTTCAATTTTCCACAATTTATCTCATCATTTCGAAGATCTTCCTTTACAATCTGATATAAATTTAGCGTCGTCAATTCAGGTCGACGATTATTTTTAACCGACCTACTGTTTTCCGAATTACCACAAGTTCCCTGAGTTGAAACCGATAATTGTTCAGTTCTTGGTGAATTTATTTTCTCCAACGATCTACTATTATTACTATTAGTATTATAATTCGATTTAATTAATGATGGATCAATATTCAAAGTGTCACAATTTTCAGGAGTTTTCAATTTGTTTTCCAAAACAGTTTTTCCAATGGAATCTACATTTTGAAATAGATTTTCTCGTTTATTGTTAACGAATTTTCCCCTAGAGGCAAAATCTTGTTCAGACGATACTTTAGCTTTATGTTTATCACTAACCAATGACTGGTGATAACTTAAAATGTGACCATTATACATGGAAATTAGATTTTTTAATTGTCGCACATCTTGTGGAGTTAATGTTATTAGATTATTTTCAAAATTTGGCATTTCCTCACTTATTTGTTTTGGCTCGAAGTTATTATTAGTCACAACTGAAGTTCCTTTGGAGGAAAAAAAATATTACAATCGTTAAAATAAATTATTGACTTATTTCCATTTCAAAATAGCAAAAATTTTTTTATAGTAATTCATATTTATGGAAATTAAGTAAATTAATTGTTCATAAAAGCACTTGTATCTTTAGGTGTTTCCTCATGTTCCACAATTGATTTGTCATCTATTGTCTCAATTATTTCTGCTTCGAAACCATTTCCCTTCGAATTTTCATTTTTCTTTTCTAAATGATTTTGAATTTATTATCATTTAATTAATTTTGAATTTTAAATTGTTGATTAATTCATTAACTAATAATTATTTAAAATTATCATTTGAATTTCAAATTTAAAAATTCGAAACCATTTCCTTTTAAATTTTTATTTTTATTTTTTAAACAATTTTAATTTTTACGAATAAATCTAATTAATTCATTTTAAATTCAAAATTATTAATTAACAATTAATCAACTAATTAATTCTTTGCATTTTTAATTTGAATTTAAATTTTTAAGATTTGAAACCATTTTCATTTTTCTTTTCTAATTAATTTTGATTTTGATAAATAAATTTAATTAATACGTTTTGAATTTAAAATTATTAATTAATCAATTATTTACATTTTTTTATTTCAATTTAATTTTTTTTAAACTCTAATTTTTGTAAATCTCTAAAATTGAATTAGTAAAATTCAAACAAATCTGAATTAGTATCTGAGTTTTAGTATAAATTATTATAGTTACAATTATTATATGAAATAGTTAAGATAATATTTTTCTTACTGTTTAGTAAACTTTGAATAATTGACCGAAAAAATTCGTTTACAAATTTAAATTAATAATATTATTATTTTTACAAAATTTAAATTTTAAAAATACTTCCAAATACCTTGAAATATATCTTTTGGCAATTTTTGTCTTGAAAATTTTTTCTTTTCCTTTTTTAGCATGTTAATTAACAAAGCTTTGAAAAAATTAAGGAAGTATTTGAAACTAAATAGGTATTAATTATCCGCACTGTCATAATTATTATATTAATTATTATTGTATACTAGATAAAAGATTATTTTTCTTTTTTTTATTTATTTAAGTAAAAAGGCAGAGTAATATTAATAATTATTAATCTTAAATATTATTATTTAAATAAAATAAAGGATACAGATTTCTTTGTCTCTTTGGAGAATTAAATTCTTATAGTATTCCGAACTCTGTGAACAAATCGTTTTGGTGCCATTTTCGAAATTATGTAATTCAAATTTCCCTTTTAAAATTTCAAGACAGTATTGCAATTTTTGAGGATCATTTGTGTACTTAAAATTTCCATCGTTTTCAAGAAACTCTTCCAAGGATTTATCTAAATATTCTTTATCTTCTGCATTCAATTCTCGAGGGGTCTGTCAAATTGAATATTTTTAAGTAAAAAAAAAAAATAAAAGATTGTAATAATAAAGAATTAATATTAATGAAAAAAATCCCACATGTACTTGATCGACCAATTGATTTTTAAGTATCTCAATTTGTTTTTTCAACTGTAAATTTTCCATTTTCAAGAGAGTATTTTCACTATTAACATCATGTTGCATGGATAAATTTACATCATTTTCGACGAGAGCAACTCTCTGCGCAAATCTACAAGTTGATACTGTTTCCTATAGATAAAAAAATTTTTTACTTTACACTTAATGATAATAAGATAAAAATTTTATTTAGAAAAAAATTTACCCTGGTAAAACTGTAATTAAAAAATTGCTCACCTCTGTAAAAATTCAATTAAAACTTAAAAGCAGTACATCAGTAAAAATCATTTTAAAAACTTTTATCTCATGTAAAAATTTAATTTAAAAAAGTTTACCTTAGTAAAAATGCAATTTAAAAGTTTTCCTCAGTAAAAATACAATTATAATAGTTTACCTAAGTAATGATTTAATTAAAAGAAATTTACCTCAGTAAAAATTTAATTAAAAATAGTTTACCTTAATATAAAATAAAAATGTAATCAAAAAAATTTGCCCAAGTAAAAAAAATGCAGTTAAAGAAAGTTTACCTCGCAGTAAAAATTTAATAAAAAATAGTTTACCTTAATATAAAATAAAAATGCAATCAAAAAAATTTGCCCAAGTAAAAAAAAAATGCAGTTAAAGAAAGTTAACCTCAGTAAAAATTTAATAAAAAATAGTTTACCTTAGTAAAAAAACAATAAAAAAAAGTTTACACACAGTAAAAATGCAAATAAAATAATTTTTACCTCGTGTAAAAATTTTCCCGAAATATATAAATTTGAAAGAAAAAATGAAAATATTTACACAGTGGAAATTTTGATTAATAATAATGATAATAAAATTCAATTAGTGGAAATTATGATTTAAAACCTCCAAGTTGTGTATTGAGAGACTGAGTGTAGCTAACATGGTTGTCAGACAATTTCCGCCGAGACTGTCCCTAAGAATGGCAGTGAGTAAAGAATTTCTGGAAGAAGAAAAAAAGGAATTGCAATCATGAATTTTTCTCTTAAGATTAAATAGCGATCCATCGACCACCTGTAGGGAATGTGATTCGCATTCTGTTGACCCAGGCAAACTATGACTTGCTCCAGGTAATGCAGACTCAAATTAATGTGCTTCGCCTCGGTTAAAATAGTTCCCGTAATAGCGCATTTGTACACACGCTCAGATCTATAAGGGAATAAACAAAAGTACAAATAAATTATATTCTTTTTTCACCACTTGTTTTTTATATTTCATTTCTTCTATAGAAAAAGTTTAAACAAATGACAAAATTTTCTTTTACGTATTTTCTATCTCTCATCTTACTTATATGCCTATTTTACTAATTTTAATTAATTTTTTGCTTTTTAATAGTAAATATAGTTCATTATTAGAAAAGATAATTTATTATTGAAAAGAAAAAAAATTTTTTTTGCAGAAATTACCAAAATGTGAATATTTAAAAAAATAATATTAGTGCAATAATTTGAAAGAGGTGTAAAAACCCAGGAGAATGATGACCGTTGTAACATTCCGAGAAACTTTTTGCCTGTGTTAAGGCGCTTGGAGAAGAAAGAGATTTCTACTTTAACTGTTGATGATAAAATTACGGTAAATTATCAATAACTAACCCTGCGAGATCCACTAGATGCATTTTGGCTCTGCTGCAGCGATTCGAACCTATTTTCTTCATTGATACGATAATTGTGAATATACAATGGGATCTGGATGACATTGGATTCATTGGTGTCTCCGAAACAACGCTTTAAATAAAAACCCATTACATTTATAATCTTATTTTCAATTTAATTTTTACTTCTCAAAATATTATTAATTATTTATTATAGGTATACATTCAAATTAAAATTCCTAATTTTGGTGAATTATGTAATTAAAATTTTTAATTTTGTCGAAAAATGGAATTAGTTTTCATAATTATTAAAATTACAATTTTTAAAGACGGTGAATGTAATTTACATTATTAATTATTGGTAAAATTATAATTTGTTATTAGAACGAAAAATGCAATTGCGGCAAAATTTATTATTACAATTACAATTTACAAATTTGAACGAATAATATAATTAACATTAATAATTATTAAAATTGAAATTTGTAATTTGGACAAAAAATGCATTTGAAAGTACTATTAAAATTACGATTTGCAATTAGAGCGAAAAATGTAAGTAGATAATATTAGTTATTATTAAAACTAATATTTATAATTTTTACTAAAACTGTACTTAATTAATAATTAAGGTAAAAAGTTGCAATTTGGACGAAAAATGAAATAATTAATATTATTCATTGTTAAAATAATTAACATTACTAATTCAAAGGCAAAATAATTTTAAAATAAAAAAATTTGTAACTTGAACGAATAATTTAATAATTAAACATTTTAATTTCTAAAATTGAAATTCATAGTTTCGACAAAAAATGCTATTGACATTATTAATTATTATACTTGCAAACTGTAATTACAGCAAAAAATATAATTAACATTAATATAGTTATTAAAACTAAAATTTGTAAATTTACTGACATTGTACCTAATTAATAATTCGAATTGAAAATTGCGAATTTAGACGAAAAATATTGTAAACATGACTAATTGTTAAAATTAACATTTTTGATTCGAAGCAAAAATATAATTATACAATTACTAATTAATAAATTTGTAAATTGACAAAAGAAAATATATTTAATTAATATTATTAATTTTAAAATTAAAATTTGTAATATGTCAATGATTAATAATCTAATTTGCAATTAGATTGAATAATGTAATTAATACTACTGCAATAATCATTAATAATTATTAAAACTAAAATTTGAAATTTTTAATAAAAATTTGATTAATAATTAAAATTAAAATATCCACGAAAAATTTCATTAACATTATTAATTATTGAAATAACATTACTAATGCAGAGCAAAAATATAATTAATATTATTAATGTTTTAAATTTAAATTAAAATTTCCAAATTGAACGAAGAATTTATCTTTACTAATTAATCAAATTTCCAATTGTGACAAAAATTAATATTATTAATTTAAATAAAAGATGTTTTGATTCTTCTGTTTGGCCTAATATAATGGCTTATTAGGCCAAACAGAAGAATCAAAACATCTTTTATTTAAATAATTTTATGACTTCCAAAAATATTGAATTAATATTATTAATTGTTACAACTAAAATTTTTAATTTTTATGAAAAATGTAATTAATACATAAAACTAAATTATGCAATTTAAAAGAAAAAAATATTTTGCACATGATTTATTATTTAAGTTCATATTTCTCATACGGAGCAAAAACACAATTAATATTATTAATTTTGAAAATTAGGACTTTCAATTTTGACAAAAAATGAAATTTACGTTATTAATTATTAAAATTTTCAATTTGAAAGAAAATATAATCTGCAAATATACCTATTGTTACATTTAAAATTGAAATTTGTACGAATAAAAATGTAATTAACGGTAATAATAAATTATTAAAATTTCTAATTTGGAAAACAATTAATATAATTAATATTAGCAATTATTACAATTCAAATTTGCAATTTGGAGCAGAAATGTAATTAATAAAGTTAATTATGAAAATTAATTTTTGTAATTTGTGAGAAAAATATAATTAGCATTATTATTTTTTATTAAAATTTCTAATTTGGAGAAAGAATATAATATTAGCAATTTAAAATTTAATTTGGACGAAACATATAATTAACATAATTAATTATTCAAGCTCAAATTTGTAATATGGAGTTAAAAAGAATATCAAAGTAAAACAAGAAAAGCTCTCTTTATGATCCCATTTTATCTAATTAAATTAAAAGTTAAACTAAAAGCGTTGCAGCATTTTCATCCAAAAATGTAAAATGTTCGTTCAAGCAAATAATAATCCGAATTCATTTTACATACTCGTTAATGGAATTTTTAATTTAATTTAATTTAATTTAATGTTTATTTTATTTTAATGGGCATCTATCAAAAGCGACACTTGCTCACCGGTTTGTATCTCCAATGAAGAGTAAATCAAGCGCATCCTTTTCATTTGTGACTGGCCAGAAGCTCAAGTTCTTTAAGTGCAATGTACCCGTCTCGTCTTCCTGAATGGTAACTCTCCTTATAGCACACAAGGAAGATATATGATTTAAATGTTAACTCATTCGAGTAAATATGAAAATATTGCGCACTTCTACATCATTACACATCATATTTAATTAATCTCAGTGCCTTAATTAATAAAACCATCACTTTCGCATATATAATCAACCAACATATTGTTATGTGCGAAAATAAATTTCGAAAGTTGACGAAAGAGAAGAAAAAAAATTATTTTTAATTTTTTATACAATCAAATATTTCCGTTACATTTTCGTAATTTTTTCTCCTCTTTTTTTCTTTTTCATTTAATAAACACTTAAATATCTGTGAAACTTACGGCAAATCTTCTATTTTTGTTGCTAAACTCCATTCTTGTTTTCTATTAAGTAAATCGTAACCATTTTCATTGTAAATTTCCAGATAAGAGATTTCAATGGAATAGAGATTTTCTGTTTGCTGGGAATTTTTTTTAACAACATTAATTGTAATTTGTACAACTACAAATTGAAGAATTATTATTTTTTTTTTATTTAGGAATTATACCTTCTTAACTTGACTGAATAAATACTGCAAAGTCCGGGGCAATATTCCTCTCAAATCGTAATTATTATGCTCGCCAGTAATCGTGTAAGTCTTTCCACTTCCGGTCTATAATTTTTTAGGAAAAGAAATTAATAAAAAAAGGAACGAGAAATTTTTTTTTATTTCTTTGCTAAAAAAATAAATTTATTACCTGACCATAGGCAAAAATCGTTCCATTGTAACCATCAAGAACACTAGAGAGAAATACTCAAGGGAGAAAATATAAGAAAACAAAAGGATTATAATAATTTAATCCTTATCGTAATGAAGAAAAATTTTCTAATTAATCACCTATGAACCACTGGTTTGGCAACTTCGTCAAAAATAACTTCTTGCTTCGTGGTTTCTTCAAAAAGTTTATAAAATCTGACATCAAAGCAAATCAATTTTTAATAATTTACGAAATTATTCACTAATAATATGCAATTATTTATTATCTTAATTTTTTTATTCGTTTGTTTTTATTTTAATGATTTATTTATTTAATCAAATGAATATTTACTCTCTAAAACTAAATCAGTGAAATTTCACGTGAAAATCAGTCAAAAAATGACTAAAAATTTAAATACGTGCGTCACTGAAATTTTCAGTAATATTTTGTCTAATCAAATGATATTTAATATATTTTAACTAAGTAAATTTTACTGATTCAGATTTAAAGAATAATTCAATTAATTCAATAAAAATTTAATATTTTTAATATTTGCATTTTATAAAAACAGTTTTAATTAAGAAAGAATTCGATAGACAATCGAAACAAAGTTTAATTAAATGTTATAATTTCGTATTTTAAATGAAAAAGACAAGTTAAATTTTAAATTCCATTTCGGTAAAAACGTAAAGAATTTAACTTACACAATATTAAATAATTAAAAGTTGTATTTGAATAAATTTACAATTTTTTGGCATTAAGAAACGTTTTCAAGTGACACAACCTAAAATTTAACAAATATTTCTTATTGACCAGAAAATTATAATTTTTTATTTAAATACAAGTATTAATTATTTAAAATGTTCAAAATTAAATTCTTGATCCTTCTATCAAAGCCAATTTAAAATTTAATTTTTCCTTTTCTTTCAAAATACGAAATTATGACATTGAACTATATTTTTTGTTTTCCTTATTTCTAAAATATTAATAAAGAAGAATTAATAATAATAAATAATAAAAATAACTAAATAAAAATAATAATAAATAATTAAATTATAATTATAAATAAAAATCTGTCTCCCTTAACTTATTTTGTAATTATTTTTTTGTGGGAATTCAAATTTCCAAAAATTTCAATTTAAAATCAGAAATACAATTATTTATAACTCAATTTTATTCTAAAATTCGAAAAAAATTTCCAATAAAAATACTCTCTAAACAATTTATAAATAATTTTTAAAAAATTGTTCGAGAATTAAAGTATTTAAAATGAAGTCAATTGCATATTCTCTAAAAAGTTCAATTATTATTGTCAGAAATAGAAAAAAATCCAAGGTTTCATTTTAAAATTCGTGGTGATTGAAATATAATATTTTCTTTTTTACTAAAAAATTTTTTTAAAATTATTTTGTAATTTTATAAATTATTTTTTTATTTATAAATATGTCAAATATTCAGGAAGTATATTACGAAAAATTCCAAGATTCGGGTCGATTATCAATATATTCATTGCAAATTCTCTGTGGGGAGGTTAAAATTAAAAAATCCTCATCCTTACGTCCTTTCGGTCGATGATAGACTTCATGATTCTAAAAGTAAATTATTCTCATATAAGAAGGTTTTAGCGAAATGAAACGTAAACAAAAATATATTTCATGTGAAAAAATTTCGTATTCGAGTTACGTACAGTGATGTTTTTTTGAAACCACTCAGGCTTAAGGCGAGCGTAAACTTTAATGTCATTTTTAACCATAACGTGAGAGGGAAAATGTTTTAAATCTTCATAACTTTTTACAAACAATAATTCATACACAGAAAAACCTTAAATCTAACAAGTTAAAAGGTCACTCACACACCACCTGTCACTTTTTCAAGTTTGTGAAGTTATAAGCAAAAAAAAAAGGAGTCGATTCGCATATTGTTTCTATAGAAATTCACTCGGTAGTATTTTTTTCTTCTTTTTCTTTTCGAGTAAAAATCAAAAAGATAAAGAATTTCCGTTTTCAACACGTATATTGTTGAATAAATTTTAATAAAATTTCATAACCGACAAGTCCTTTTTGATTATCTTCGAAGAAGAAGAAGAAGAGAAAGTTAGAAAATATGTTTGCTGAATATAAAAATTTTATATATATTTAGGTGAAGTTAGCATTTTAAGTGAGCGCGAATAAAAGCGTATGTTTACATTTAATTATTATTATTATTTTTCCATGGAAATTTAAATTTCCAAAAAATTTCAATTCAACATATTCTGAAATTTAATTATATCTATAAGTAAATATAATTTAAAAATTTTCTAATTAAAATTTTTGTCGAAAACACTAAAAAAATTCCATTTTAGAGAAATTACAAATAATTGCAAAAATTGAATTTTTTGAATATTGGATATCAAAAACTAGAATTTTCTTACCATAATTCCAAAATTTCTAAAATTCAAAAAATACGTTAAATAATTCATTTTTAGAAATTGCACGACAATATTTTTTCAATTTTACCATTTAAAATTGGTCAGAATTAAAAAAATATCCTATTAAACAATAAACAAATGCCCATATTATTATTGAAGAGACTATAACAATTGATTCTCGGAATGTAGGATGTAAAAAATTCAAAAAGGTGCTGCCGACATATTTGCGATTGGAATTGCAACCGGTTGTTAAACTTGTGATTCCGGTGTGAACGCAAGCCTTATAGTGAGTAATGGTTTTTTTTCTCTCTCTCTCTCTCTCTTTTTTATAACGAAAACGCAAAGTTTCCTTGGAGGCACTTTTGCGTCACAGAGACAAATTCTTCAATCTTTACGACTCTTTTTGGTCAGACGAGTTCTAACAGTAAAACTTTATAAATCTCCAAAGAGACAATTTCGATTGAATCGAGATTTTCCGGGTACAAAATCGCAATAATTGATATAAGACTTTCAATTTCCTGAATGCTTATATATATTTTGCGCAAAAGTTGCAACTTTTTTTCCCCTTCTGGAATTAATTTAGTAAAAGAAAAAAAAAGAAATAAAGAATTGAAAAAAAGAATGAAGTGTCAGCACGTGAATTTACTGGAATTCCTTCTTGATTTATAGAGAAAATTCTCTACGTAGTTTCTAAATTCTCAATCAGTTAATTGTCGTCATTATGAAATTGATTTGAAGTTAATTTTAAAGTTTACACAGCTCAACAAATATTTATACACATGATAAATGCTGTTAAATAATATTGTAATACCCAATAAGTACAACATTTTTTTTTCTTTATCTACAGGAATGAGTTTTATTTTTTCCTCTTTTATTTAACTTTTCAATAATTAATAATAAGTAATTAACATTGAAAATAAGTAAAAAATATTTTTAAAAAACAGTTAAGAATTTATTATAAATACTTTATTATTAAATAAATAAATTTAATTAATTATATTCCTTATTTCATTTATATACTTTAATTATATACTTTATTTATATTTATTATTATTTTATTAATATAAATAAAATGAAAAACAGTAAACAAAGATTAATGAAAAGTTATTTTAATATACAAAAATAATTTCATAATGATTTGTTTACTGTTTTCTCCTAAAGAATGGAAAAAAGTTGGTAAATACTCATTTAGAAAAAAGACATCTATTAAAACGATATTATTTAAACCCAAAACGGGTTTTTGAAATTAAATATGTTTTTAAAAACACGAGAAAATAATTTTGTTTTTTCAATTTCAATTGACATTTCCCTTGAAAATATATTTTCATTATATTAACGCTAGAAGAGACATTAAGATAATCAAAAAATGTTAAAACTTTTAGTACCGTTTGTAAAATTTACTAATAAACATTTATTATACTACTATAGTATTTTTTCAATTAATTTACTAGTAGAGTTTAATTATAAATAAATTATAATTCATTTGTAGTAAAATGTCATTCACCTCAAAATACTTGTTACTAATTCACATTTGGAAAGTAAATACTTCAAATAACTTTTTTGTTACAATAATACTTCTTAACGAACAAATTAACGATAGTCGAAATCATATTAAGTGCCTGGATTTATGTCTTAAGTTAGGTCATGTATTTAGGGTTCGATCCCCCCTAGGGCTGAAAACTTAATTTAACTCTTATAGAGAATCTAATCCACAATAGACCAGCGTTAATTCAATTTCAGTTATTAGTGTATCAATTACGGTTAATAAAATTTTTTTATTAATTTTTAGTTTTTCCTTTAATTATAATATTTCCTATAATTATATATTTTAAATACAATTTTATTAATAATTTTTTATTCTCTCATCAAAGTTATCAGATTTGTTATAGAAAACTCCAACGTTTTAATAAGAAATTCTATAATAGCCGAAAACAGTAATTAAAATGGCCAAATTCAATTAATTAAATATTTAATTGATATATTACCTACTCTAATTCTTAAGGTCATGTTATTCAGTGGTCACGTGCCCCATATATTTTACTATAGGGCACGTGATTACCGAATAACATGACCTTAAGCTTAAGTTCATTTGAAAAATTTTTTGCTTTTCTTTTACTTGCAGCTTTTTTAAATGAGACTTTTTAGTTTTATTTTCCCTTTTAATTATTAATATTTTTTTTAATCTTCTTCCGTAGTTTGAAATTTTTCTAAATTTTAAATCAAAATTTTTGTTTGAACACTACTTGTGTTTTATAATTCCATGAATTTTATTATATTCAAAGTAACTTTACTTTACTTTGAACTCAGTAAATTTTTCTCAAAACAAAAATAATAATAATAATAAGTTTTCGTAGGTACTCTGAAATTTTTTTTAATTTTTAACTAAAATTTTGGTTAGAACACTATTTTTTGTTTGAAACTGACTCGAATTTTACTATATTCGAAGTAAATTTAATTAAAAATTAGTTCAATTTACTTTGGACATAGTAAAATTTTCTCTAAAAATAATAAAATTAACTATTAAAAATGTTTATTTCCTTGTGTATAATTCTTTCTATTTCGAATTATAATTTTTTGCATGAAGATTGTAAATATTTACTTCAGTAGTATTTGAATTTACACTAAATAAATAATTTTTAATAAAATATTGTATTATTGTGGATGAAAATTTAATAACATTTTTATAAAAAGAATTAACAGTGCAAATAGAAAAATTTGTTATTAAAAATCGATATTTCCAGAATAAACTTTTATTATTTTCGGAGAAAATGTCTCTTTAAAAAAAATTAGAAAAATTTACTTTATAATAATAGTAAAATGTATTCTGGAAATAATATTTTTTAATAACAAATTGTAATTTAAAAATAAAATGAAAATTTTTGATAGTTTTTTTTTATCTTTTTCAGTAATCTGCACTTTTTCAAAATTCAATTATTTTCAAAAATTTTTCTAATTTTAATGATTTTCAATATCTTCTATTTTAATAAAATTTCCCAAAAAGAATTCAATTATTTAAAAAAAAATTTAATAAAATTATATGCAAACATTTAATTATATTTTCATGAATAATAAAAATTCTGCATGAATTCAATTATTATTTTCATAAAAAATAATTTAAAATTCTAGAAAATAATAATTGAATTAAAATGATGAAAATAATTTTAAGAAGTTACGGTAACAATATTCTTATAATATAAAATAATGATTTTATTTCTGTCATCTTTAATTATTATTAGAAAACATGAAGAAATCGATCACAATCAATATCGCAATCGATATCTTCATGTTTTATAACAATACTTTTATAAATTGTTTAATTTAAAAAATGTTTGATTTTTAAAATTTTTGAATAAATTAATTCCTATGGATAATCCTGTTCCAAAAATAAGATTAAAAATAGGAATTGTGCAAATATTTTTCTTATTTTTCTAAAACAGAATATTAATTTTGTTAATAAAATCTGCACTTTTTCGAAATTTCAAATAAAAAGATTTGTTAGAAAGCTACATTTGAGTTTTCATATTCCGCATGAATTTTACTATATTCAAGGTAAATTTCGATAGAAATAGAAATAACTTTTACTACTTCGGTAGAAAATTTCTTTCTAAAAAAATTAGAAAAATTTAATATAGCAAAATTTACTCTGGAAATAATTATTTTGAATAACAAATTGTACAGCATTCCCCACAGCATCTAAGACAATATTGCTGCAAGTTTCACAATATTGAGGCAATGTTGTCAATGTTGCTGCAAGTTTAGATGCTGTGGGGGATTCGAAGAAAATTAAAAAAATTGTACACTCTTGAAAAGAAAATAAAAAGATTTTCAAGATCCAGAAAACCGAAATTTTCCCAAAATTCTCAAAAAGTAGAAAAATATTTCTTCAACAGTAACTAAAAATTTTTGTAAATTTTCCAGAATAAGAATAATTTGATCTAATTAAAAAGAGTGAAATCAAACCGAAAGGTTGTCAACGACTAAAAGAAATCAAAAGTCAAAGGTAGTGAATGTTTAATTAACATGAGAGTTCATCAACAAGTACTCGCAAAAAGTCAAATGAATAATTCAAAGATACAGCATCCGAAATAAAGAGAGAGAGAAGAGAGAGATGAAGAAGAAGATAATGGATTTTTAATATCGAGAAATCGAAATAATTCCGTGTTACATTTCGATGAATCGATCCAAAAGTGACCCGGTCGCCTTGACGACGACGTCGACGGACCGGCGCAGAAGACCCGTCGAAAGTCACTGTTGGTTTATTTCCCAGTCCTCTGCGCGTGACAGTTCAGTAATTTTTTCTCTGGTTTATATATTAACACGCGTTTATATTTTAATGTATTATTGGA